CTGTATATATCGAATGGACGCTAATTATTTTCAATAATTAGCGTAATATGCATTCAAAAATNCATATGTATATGATATAGTCAAATAAACTGTTTGTCTATCTGTCCGACTGTGATGAGCTGTATATATCGAATGGACGCTAATTATTTTCAATAATGTATTCGTTGGTAATATGCATTCAAAAATGAATTTGAAAACGATCGTCAAAACGGTATGGTAAAACAGAAACGCGCATTTTTATTTTGTTTCTTGATAGTTCCCGCTTAGAAAGTCAAAATTTCAGTTTGATATCATAGGAAGTCCTTACTGATGGAAATTATTAAGAAGTGATTAATAACACGTGACTTGTTAGTAAATGTACGCAGACGTTAAACGAAGATCAATTGAATTTCGACATGAATTGAATTGAGGGTCACTTTCGACAAGATGAATTCAAGTAACATATAATTATGTTAGATGGTCTTCCTTCTGAATCAACATTTTTCGTCTAGCATCAATTTAGAGGAAATATCTGAAAGTTGTTGAATCATATTTGTCAAACCGTCTGCAAAATACTGAAATAATAAAAAATGGAAAAATATTCAAATCAGAGGCACGAGAAAATACCATGGGCATCCCACAGAGAAGTGTAACCGGTCGCATACTTTATATTATTTTCATGAACGACATTTTTGAAATCCTAAATAATGACAGTGAAACTTCCCAAATCACCAATTAAGCTGATGATACAAATTTGTTAGTGTCAAGTCACAACTATCCAAACTTAATCATAGAGTCCTCTCTACTCAGGAACTCATACTCGACAGTTGGAGGAATCTATGAGAGTGTAGAATACCTATTTGAAAATAAAAGTAGATTTTTGGAAGCTAGACTAGGTATGTCATAATTATCCTAAACGCAATATGAATATATCTTTTCCGATTCACAAATTGACAGTGTCAGAGAGGCATTCATCCTATGCGTCTAAAAGGTTTTTCAATAAATTACCACGGAGACCTGAAATGTTAGAGAGCCTGAAAAAATTCAGAACAGGTATCAAAGAGCTCTTGATGAAGTTAGAACCTTTATCTAATCATAAACAAATATATTAATTCTTCAGCATTGTTATAATCCAGTGCTCCAGAGGTATAAATAAAGATCATACAATTGACGACAAATATTTATTCTGAGAAAATAGAGATTTCAATGATACTTGATATGCATCAGTTTATTCAAAAGATATTAATAGATGAAAACTTTCCGTTTGGAAGCAGTTCTTCATCGTCTCCTCTGTGGATATTTTGAATTTCAGTTAATGAATTACAATTATCCGAGTTTATATTTACGATTGGTGGGTACGACACACAAAATTATCCAACTCAAAAGGAAAGGTACATATGAATCAACATTTTCATTTTGCTATATGAAATAAAAAAGGGAGTGTAACCAGATAAAAAGTAAATAAAATCGAAAGTAATAACAAATCAAATTTCCCCACATCCATTGTTCAAAATTGTGTGGAGAAATATTCAGCAAATGTTTTGAATTGAATGGTCATGGACACCTCATACTCTGGTTGTAATCAGCCTTAGCTCACTCATCCAATAAAAAGGACCAAGAGGATTGCTCATAAATTGATTGGAGAATGAATCTACTCATGATCATTGTAATCTACTCCTTGAACTGGACCTGGAATCTATATAATTCTCCTTAGGAGAAAAAAATGCAATATATATCACTATGCTGACGACACGCAATTATATTCCTCTTTCCCGCCACGTGATTTTACCTCTGCTCAGTCATATATTCATAAGGATCTTCAAGCCATCTTTGACATATCTACAGTCCATAATCTCAAGGTCAATCCTAATGAATCTGCAATAATGATGTTTCGACCACCCAAGAATAACCGAGAGCTCTCCAAGTCCACTTTTCTAGTCCGCATCTAAAATAAAATTCTTTCCTTCGTGACCGAGACGAAAAACTTATGATTATGGTTTGATCCGGTACTTCGCTTCCCTAAACAAGTCAGCTATATGAATCATACTTCTTATAACGTCCTCAGGCAGCTGTTTCCAAATCGCGATATGTTCAACACAAACTTGAAACTGAGACTATGCGAGTCACTGATCATGTCAAAAATTTTATTTGCAACAGTATTCATGGACCTGCTTCAAGGCAATCGGATGCGCTTCATCTACAGCGTATTCAGGATAGCTGTCTACGTTTTTCGTTTGGTATCCGGAAATATGACCGTATATCTTCAGCCATGCAAGATTCAGTATGGTTGAAAGCTGAGAAACTCAGAACACTGTATCTACTCACCAACACACAAAGTTTTGATACCTCGTTAATCTGATTATTTACTGAAGAGGCTTAAAACATTGTCAACAATGAATAGTTTCACCATACGAAATAGTTCAGTGTTTTAGTCATCCGCACACAAATCGTCCATCTTCACCCACAGCTTCTTGTATAATGTACGTCAATAGCACAATCAACTACCACGTGAGTTTGGATCTTATACAATAAAAAACTTTAAAAAAAGACTAAAGACTCAACCTGTCTAGTCTCTTGTCCGTTCCTGTTATTGGCACTACAAAAATGAATTTTCTACAGCGGCTGCCTGAATTTTCGGACCTTATCATGACAGTATCACTGTTAAAACTTTTTTGTTATTGTTTGATCATTGCTATTTCCAGGTTGAGTTGAAAAACATTATTGGCTGATACTCCACCTATTCACTTTTATACTGAAAGTTGTCTTCTTTTTTTTGTCTGTTTTCATCGTACTTTCATGGTGAATAAAGAAGTATCATTATAATTATATAAGACTAAGATATGTGACAGACGGCTGGGAATAGCGAATTTGTCAACCGATAGACTGAGAAGTCAAAGAAATAGTAAGCAATATTTGATGGGTATAGAGGTTCCTGACACAAAATGCAGGGCCTGCCGTGAAGTGTGCTGTCAGCATGTTCAGCATATGCGGTCTTAGCCTATATCCATCTACGTAACGCGGCCCTAAGAGTGCTATATTACCATCTACGGCACTCTTACGGTATTGACTCGACACCGGTGTTGCCCTACGCTCCAGGGGATATTGAATCGGTTGTGGAGAATGAAAAGTGCCAAGTTCATTATTGGAGTCTTTGGAGTTCTCTCTACTCTCGAATCCTGAAATCATACCGCCTTGCCGCAGTAAGGCAGAAATCTCAGCCTGACAGATGTAAAAAGCTGTCATTCTTGGCTCACTGCGCTTACTCAGGACACATGATTTTTGAACCCAATGATCACTCACCCCACGGCGGGCGGGTTGGCTGTCCTTGTTCATCTTTGGCTGTCTGAACCACTATGCATGCTGTTTTTGGCGAGTGCAGTGGCTTGGGATGTGGGGGTTGAGCAAACCGGCCATCGAATGCCTGCTTCCACGTAGCCCCGCTGGATACGGGAATGACAGATTCACTTGTGGTTCTGTTATTCCCTAACGATGGCTTAATCCCAAGGTGTGTGTATCCGTGCCAAGAGGATGAATGACACTGAGCCTATCAGCTGTCTCTACGGAACCTTCGAGATACCGGGCGCCCTCTCGTCGTAGCATCGCCTTGTTACGGTAATGCGGGGCTCTGCCGTGATTGACCTTCTTTCCCTATCTACTCATGGGACTTTTATGGACAAAGTAAACTCAAAAATTTTTTCTGACACTGAGTCTACAGAGGAGATGGATGTCGAGCGTACGACTCCAACTGACCTCCCTGTAAATTTAGATCTGGAGCGAGTCTACAGGAGCGAGTCTACAAAGGAGATGGATGTCGAGCTTACGACTCCAACTGAACTCCCTGTAAATTTAGATCACATGCGAGTCTACAGAAGAGATGGATGTCGAGCTTACGACTGTAACTGACCTGATCGCTCCCTGATCGGAAGCGAGAGCTTCTGAACTCTTCAACTTCTGATCCAATAACTGATGGGTACCTCATGAAACCGCCCTGCACCAAATTCTTGAGCGGCGTACGCAGAATCTGTCTCAGGTGGAGAAACAAACGCCCCATGAGCAGGTTAGCAAACGTTCGCGCTAAAGTTATTATTCACCAAAACAAGAGGCAAAAAAGCTCTACTCGGTTGAATCTAAGGCATCGTCAAGTGTAGCTGACGTGCGAAAACCCTCATATGAAAAGGTTGTCGCGGGTATCAAGGTGGAAATATTGCACCTTGACTATCTGACTACCTCATTAACGATGAAACAGCAGAGCATATACTTTGTGCCTGCGCCGCTGGGGACCAAATCATGTTTTTTGAGTTGGGCACAGCCGTTCTCCTACCATATGACCTGAAAGACCACTCTCCATACAAACTAATCAGCTTCGTTAAGAAGCTTGGTTTATTTGGTCGAGTGTGAATAGGTGTGAGCCACAATAAACCCTTACGGGTTGCGGTGGAGGGTCGAATAGATCCACTCACTTTGGACCTAATTTAACCTAACCTACCCCACGGCGTGGATCGTTGATTGATAATGTTGGCGCGCCCTCCCAAATGTATCGGGGCATCGGGAGATAGGGCCTGACCAGCGCACACTGCTGTGAAAAAAATAATAGCGACTTTATTTTCCATTTTACATAATAAATAATTTTTTCCAAGTTGAATGAGTAATTGTTGGCATGATTGGCGAAGTTCAGCTTTTTTTTTAAATTATATGGACATATTGTTTAATTATACCTACAATTGAGCTGCTCTTCCACTCAACCTTATGAAGAGCCATATAACGGAAAAGTGAATAATTAAAAATATATACCATATAATGTTTCAAACATTTTCTCGTTGTTGAGATTTTCGTTTAACTCAGTTATATCATTTTGTTTCCTAATAATTGATATCTGGGAGTTTGAAACTTAAAAAATATAGAAACTGCATTGTCACGATCACCCAATATCTATAATTTTTCGCACACCTAAGTGTCAGTATAATTTCGTAATGTACAAGCATAATAACTACAACATTTCAATTACATTTTATTCACAACCATTTTTTTTATTTTCTATGATTCTATATTTTTATAATTATCAAGAAGAAACAACAATCAATATGTTCGAGAATGCCCTGTTATACAGATGATAAAAATCAATGAAAAAACACATTTTTGAATAATTTCTCATCGCTTTCTAGGAACTACTGTTGGACTCGTAAGGGTGAATCTTTGATAGAATAGCAACTCTTTCTCATAGTCTTCATAGTCGAAATCCAAGTGGAAATATGTAGAAATTTCAAAGCTCTACTGGCACAGAAAACTAACCTATGATAACAAAAATAGAAGACTCCATATATGACGCCACTTCACAGACTACATGAAAAAGATTTGTTGAATAAATGAAAAATTCCATTTCGGTCGACAACTTGTATATTCTGGCAAATATATTCCTCATGAACCAGGAAAAATCCATGTGAAGGTTAAGGTCGAGGTCAGCGTCACGATAACAATGAAATAAATAGTCATATTGATAAAAATCGAATTATTTCCACATATTTTTCCATCATTAACTCAGATAATTGAGTAAGCCGGCTTGTTTCACCATTTTATGGAATATCCCATTTTCGTTTTCTAGCAGCGATAGTGGATCGTCGAATTCTATTAGAACGCCTTTGTCTAGGACCATCACTTTGTCACATTCCAAAATAGAATGCAACCTATGAGCAATTATGAATACTGTGCAGTCTGTAAAATGCTGGCTTATAGTCTTGTGCAACCTCGCATCTGTTTCATGATCCATATTAGCTGTAGCCTCATCCAAAATAAGAATTTTACTTTTTCGTAAGAGGGCTCTAGCCAAACAGAAAAGTTGCTTCTGTCCACAACTGAAGTTTGAGACGCTCCCTATCACATTATCTAGATTGGAAATGGAATTTTTCAAATCAACTTTTTCGAGAACGGACCACAGTTCTTCATCTTCGAATTCTCTAAATGGATCGAGATTTGTACGTGCTGTACCAGAAAACAGCACTGGGTCCTGTGGTATAATAGCAAGTTTTTTTCTGAGAAATTTCAATGATAACCTTCTGATGTCAACTCCATCAATGAGTATTTTGCCCTGAACGTCATATAGTCTAAAGATTGATGATATCAGTGAAGATTTTCCTGCTCCAGTTCTCCCAACTATACCAATCCTTTGTTTCGGCTCCACTTCGAAGGTCAAATTCTTCAGTATCTTTTCATTATTATAAGCAAGACAAACGTTCTCATATTCCACAGTACCATCGGTTGGCCAGTTGTCAAGAACCTCTCCACCTTTTTTCTCCGATGGGATTCCTGCGTATTCTAAAACTCTTTCCACAGAAGTCATATTGTTTTCCATTTCAGACCACTGACGAAGACCCCATTGAATGGAATTTCCAAGGCTAGTAACTTGAGTCAAAGCAAGTCCGACGTTGCCTGCACTTGCACCTGAAAAGTAAAAATTTGAAGAAGATTTGATGAACTGTTCCTGTTTGAAAGGCAAGATTATTATTAGTATCAGAATAGTATTAGAAGAATATCGGAAGGTTGGACCGCAAAAATATCAGTCTATAAACTGCAAGATATAACCCATCGTACCTTATTATATCAGTGAAAAGACCTAATAGACCGAAAGGTCTATACCTCATAGGTTGCAAGGTAGACCATACATTATAGACCACGAGCTCATGTACAGTGCTATGTACAAAACAAAGGGAGTAATCGTAGTCACTTTTGGTGAATGCCTGGTGGTGCCATGACGTCCAGAAATTGGTGTATTCAGGTGCATTCTATCATGTGGTGTGCATGTGGTGACGACATGTGTGCATGTGCACGACTATTGTCGTGGATAAAACTAAGGTTGGAGATTTGTCTCTCTTTTATAGATACTTTCACGGGAAGTGTTCAAGTGACTTGGCACATTTGATTCCGTCAGAAACGGTACAATCAGAAATACGCGACGGACTGTGGCTGCTCATCGTTTTGAGGTTTAACTCAGGACATCTCGAACTTTACTGTTCAAGAACTCTTTCATTTGGAGAACTGCGTTTATGTGGAATGAACTTCCTGAGAACGTTTTTCCAAATGGATTTGATCCTCAGCGATTCAAATCCAATGTGAATCGCTACTTTCGTAACAGATGTAGCTTCACCGAGATTGCCGTTATCAATTGTCAAAGTTCGTACCATGCGCATCAGCCATTTCACGGTCGCCATAATCGTCCTATTGAAAATCCTATTCGCAATGTGGTGGATGAATTTGAGTTCACAGGTTCAGTGAACGATTAACCCGTACGTCAGCAGCAAGAGCTGCCGAAAACATCTCCGCTGTTTATGAGAGTGTGCAGGCGAATCCGAGGCAGTCGATTCCGCATCGCTCACAAGAACTCGGCCTTTTGCAGACCACAACTTGGCGAATTTTGCGTCATGATTTGAGCCTACACACTATTGCTGCTTTATGTGATCTAACAAAAGCATTCGATTGCGTCTCCCATTCTATTTTACTGAAAAAATTAGATTACTATGGCATAAGAGGAACCCCCTGTCTCTTTTTTCTTCATATCTGACAAAGAGATACCAATATGTGTCAATTGACTTGAACATTGTGTCCGATTTAAAACCAGTTACATGAGGAGTTCCCCAAGGCTCTGTTCTGGAGCCTCTTCTGTTCATAATCTATATAAATGATCTCTTTTCCTCATAATTGTTTCACTTTCGCCAATGATACTACTCTTACGACATCCGGAAAAATTAAGGGTAATTTGGTGCGGGAGAGTATGTATGAAAGAACCAGGCTTTGAAAGAGACGATTGATTTTCTACCACTTAATAATGATAATAATAATTCTTTATTCTCCAGAAGGACAATACAAGTATTGTATAGGAGCAGTCCTTCATCTAAAATTAACAGAACATGATAACATTCAGTTAAATTGTATATAACAAAACAGTAAATTTGCATACATTATAGTCGTTCATCTATAGTATAGAATAATTGTGTAACACATCATGATATATATGGAGACATATATACATATATTCACCCAAATACACAAATAACAGACAAATCATAAAGGATTTACAAATACTTATTATACTGCCTGATCGACTTTATAATAGCATCTTTCAATTGAAAAATGTTTAAGACTTTTTTTAAAACATGTTAAGGTTCGACTCTCTTACATAATCTGGTAATTTATTAAATAATAAAGGACCTAGTGTTTGGAGAATTTTCAGATAATTGGACCCTAGAAAAGGGTATATTCAGCTGATTTTTTATTCTTGTGTCATGTTTATGAATGCTAGATCTGGTTGAAAAACTGTTATAGTTACTAAATATATACACACAAACTTCAAAGATGAAGAGTGATGGTAGCGTCATGATTTTACATGTTTTGAATACATCAAAACAGCTTCGTCAAGAGAATAGACTAAACATTACTCGGAGTATTCTCTTTTGTGCAACAAATACATCATTAGCTCTCGAAGACCTTCCCTAGAGGGAGATGGCATATCGAAGTCTGGAGTTCACTTGGGCATAGTAGAGCATCAGCAACTGATCATTGGACAGAACTGATCTCAAATTACGTAATTGATAGGAAATAGAATTCAATTTATTGATTAAGATTTTACAGTGTTCTCCCCAGGAAATATGTTCCTCTATATATAATCCAAGAAATCGGTCTTATCAACTGACTCCGAAATCTCCGAAATCAACTACACTAGCTTCTTTTTGTGTATTGTGAAAGCGTATACATTTTGTTTTATTTGTATTTAGATGAAGTGAGTTGGCTCTAAACCACTGAGCCATATCAAAGGATTTTTTTTTACATTTCTGACGTATACAATATTCAACCCTATCCAAAATTCCAAAATTCTACTAGAATTTAATTTTAATGTTTGTATGGCAACACTGAATAGCTGTTATCCACAAACATTTGACAGTTCTGCGAAAACAAATGGCGTTGGTAGACCACATCAAAGATTTTAGGACCAAAAAGTATGTTTGTTTGCGTTTGTTAATTTGTTCTACAAAGGAAAGTGCTGCATGGGTTGATGAAATTAATATGTTGTATTGTTACGCATATATTTAGCATTATTTTACGATAATATTTATGTCATAATGTTTAGGCGAAATAGCTGTATTTTGAGGTTACAACTTAAATAATATTTTGAAAGAGACACTTGTGGAGGCTTTCAAAGAGTCGGCTCTTTCATGGCACGAAAATTGGCTTTTTCAATACTCTATAAACTACCAAATTGCGCAGTTTGTTAGAGATGCTTAATCCAGTTTCAGAAAAAAATAAAACGAGAAAAATAAACCTAGAAAAGTTGATGTTAAGAAAATGTCAATAAAACAAAATATAAAAAAAACTAAGTGCCAATGCACATGATGAGTCCAGTGATTCCAGCACGATGATTCCTCATTAACAAGCTCAGATGATGAAATTAACTTATTGCATTTAAAAAACAAGAAGATTACTTCACAGCAAGATAAAAATTATTGTAGAGTGTGGAATGGTGATTATTCTAAGAGCAAAGTAGAATGGTACCAGTGTAAGATTTGTGATGATTGGTAACATGCGTCTTGACATGGCATTGACGGTGTTACAAATTTCTTTTGCCAAAAATGTTTCTAGTTAATTGAAAAAAAAAATGTATTGAGATTGTGATTTAAAACTGATAAATAACTTTCGTTTTGATAGAAATGAGCAATGTTCAAGTTTGTTTAGGTTTTTATAAGAGATGAATAGTTTATTAAGAGATTGTTATTGCTGGAAGACTGATTTTTTTGTGAAAAGGAGCCTTGTGACATTACGAGATGGAGACTGATTATTAAAAAAATATAGATTATTCGGAAATTGAAAGATGTAAACTCTCAACAGGCGCTATTATCAATTCTCTGGGGAAATAGTACTAACGCAAATAAGATATTTATGTTACAAAAAATGCCGTAAGGATATTATCAGGGGCTGGTTTCTCAGACTCCTGTAGACCTGAGACATTATCTGTCTCAACTTTTGATAGATATTCAGACTAGAGGATGTGATTTGTTGAAGGCCAGTAGATTCAGACTGAAAAAGTTAAGCAGAAACTCTATCGATGTCAACTTATACACTATTCTATTTCCCCATCTCAAAAAATTGAATCAATACTTGTTCAAAAAGTATTTGAAATATCTATTGATTTCAAATTGTGTTTATTCTACTGACGAGTATATAGCTGTCTTATCCAGAGAAACACAAATAAACGGCGAAACAGTATAACATTCATTCTTGGGTAATAATGTATGTGTGTATATGTGACTTATCTATTTGTATACATCTAAAAGATCATAAAAAAAAATTATACCCCAACAAAATTCAACTGAATCAGGAACTGAAGGTGAACGACCATAGACAACGACGTGTGTTCCATATATGGGCTCTGGAGCAGTTGGCAACTGACCATAATTTTCACCAAAATATCATCTTCGGCAATCAGGCCCATTTCTGGACAAATGAGTAAGTGAACAAACAAAATTGTCGAATTTAGAAAGATACTAATCCACATGAGATCCAAGAACGTTCATAGGTACTATTTCAATTCCAACGGCTTATTTATTCTAGAAGTCTCATTGAATTTCCAAAAAAACCGCCTAAGACCAAATTTAGCGAGGTTTGTTATGTTTACTCAACTCAAAAAAAAATTCGCAAGGTGGCTGACTGAACTCAATAGTTTTGGCAATTATTCCGGATCATTCCAATGTAGCATACAATTTTCATAATATCGACACCATCAAGTTTAAATTGAAATTATTCTGAAGAACAAATCAATTTCTATCTATTTCAATAGAATTTTAACATTGTATGAATTTTGAAGTTTCAGATGGAAGTGATTTCATTTCAATGATAGTATAACGATCTTTGAAAAAAGTCACTGGAACATAGTATCACCGTTTAATCAAGAGTATCAAAACCTTTATTGAAGTAACTAAATCCTTACCAGTGTCAAAGAATAAGAAGTTTATTACAACTGAAATCAGCAACGTGGAACCGATGCAATCCATGAAGAAGTTGAATCCTCTTAAGGAACAAATTGACGTGTAATAGGCTGAAGTATATAGATCTTGATGCCGATCAAACTCATCAATGAGGATACGTTCCGCTTTGTATGCTCTTATTGTTGTCAATCCATCTAGAGTTGCATTTAAATGACCGATCATGGGGCTGCGAGCTGAAACAAAAAAAACCTTCAAAACTGGATTCAGAAGCAATCTGCTTTTTTTCTTAAGACGAAAATCAACCAAACCTGGCACTGATGATGAACAGCTGACTGTTGGTTAGCACTTTCAAGCTCATGCTAGGAATCTACTTTCAGATTTGTTTCTGCATTAGAAATAAAGATTTTTCTAGAAAGTTTTTTTTTGCTAATACACTTGACACAGAATGTTCAATGGCATCATCAACACTACCGTAATATTTCGTGAAAAAAAAGTAAATATCATACTAATAGGTAATGCTGCCAATAAGGAATGAATGGAACCAGCCACAGTCCACAGTTCATTTTTAGTCGAATACCAGTCTTATGGTAGTATCCCAATTTTCTCAAGTTCTACTCGATATCATGGTAACTTTTTCAAATGTGTTTTGAATATTAACGGTTGTTCTCGAATGATGGTAGTTTGGGTTATAACCCAGTACCACCTATATTATTTGTGGCAGATCATAAATCATTTGAAAGTAATCACAAAACTAAAATTTCCAAAATGGAATCTCACTCGAGTAACTGAGAACAAAATGAGCACAAGGTTATCAAGAACTGCCAATGCACATTAATCACTCCGAGATTTACTTCATTGTTCGGAAGATAATTAAGAAATATTACAGATAGATGAAAATTTCAATTAGATCGAAGAATTAGATTGAAAAAGAAGATAATCTTAGCTACAGTTTGTTTTTCTTGGAAATGATTGTGAAGGCAACTATATTAGTTAGGTGTAAATAAGTGGAGACATTGAGGTAGTTGAGTGTTTCTGTCACAAACTCGACTGCAAAATGAGTTTACAAAACATAATTCTTCTTGTCAATCAAAAATGCCAGATTTCTATATAATTGAAATTTTATGTGAATACTCTTCCATTTGTCATGTTGGGTAGTTTTTCAATAAATGATCAATGATGAATATTTCAATTCCATAGAAGAACAGACTGACTGAAAAAAAGGTTTTTCTATAACTCAATGTTCACATGAAAGTAGTTATTTCAAAGAGAATTTTTCTTTCGAGTAACTATAACTCGTGATGCGTGAGTAGAAAATTGGAAAGCCGAAAAACAGAAAAAATATCTCTCTATTCAATGAAATTTTCAAAATATTGTGTTAACAACCGTTTCACTTTCCAACAAATAGGTTATAGTCTGAGTAAAGAGCATCTGAAGGATATCTCGGTCCTTTGGAGGAGAGAAACCTCAGGAATCTTCTCTGCAACACTTCAAGGGGACAAATGTGTGTTTTCAGTGCCCCACCTCAAGCAACGATACTATAACGCAGGTAGCTCTCAACTAATGCATGATATAAGATTTTCATTGGTTGGTTTTTTGATATATTTTTGAGGTGTCTGAATTTGTGTAATGTTAGTTGAAGCTTTCTGCACATAGTTTGTATAATCATTCCAATATTTTGTTTCAATCTTCCTCTTTGAAGATGATCAACTAATGCAGGATATAAGATTTTCATTGGTTGGTTTTTTGATATATTTTTGAGGTGTCTGAATTTGTGTAATGTTAGTTGAAGCTTTCTGCACATAGTTTGTATAATCATTCCAATATTTTGTTTCAATCTTCCTCTTTGAAGATGATCACTTGGTGATCGAAACACGTGTCGAGGTATTAAAAATAACGATTTGGTGTTGGGAAAGAACTCCAGTAATATTCATTCCAATATTTGTTGAAGAGATGATACGCCGGAGGTTGAGAAGTTGCTTGACAAAAAAGTCAAGTGGTGACTCAACAAAAAATATTTATGTTAAGAGAATATTTTAGCATTCAGTAGAGTCTACTGCCAATCATATACAGATGAGATATTGAATCAATATAGAGATTATAGACTGGAGAGAAAATTTCTGATCAACTGGACAACACAAACTTTATTATCATCCCGTTTTGATGGAGATTGCTTTGGAATGAATTATAACATAGGTTAGGTTAGGTCCGAAGTGAGCGGGTCTATTCGAATCTCTACTGCAACCCGCAAGGTTTTATTGTGGCTCACACCTTTTCACACTCTACCAAATGAACCCAGCTTCTTAACGAAGCCGAGCAGTTTGTATGGTGAGTGGTCTTCCAGGTCAGATGGTAAGAGTACGCCTCTGTCGAACTCTAAAAACCTGATTCGGTCCCCAACGGGGCAGGCACAAAGTATGTGCTCTGCTGTTTCATCATTTTCCAAACAGAGGCGACACACACTGTCTTCCGACAGTCCGAGTCAGACATTGTAGTTCATCCCTACTGTAGTTCAACAACTGTTCAACGCCTTGGAGTGGTTCAATCCTGGAAGATTCTGCCAGAAGTCCATAAATCTTCTTGCCATCCAGGTGTTCAATCTTTGTTTGGCATTGGCGATGCCAATGACAGGTTCTGGTCCGATGAAGCTACTTGCAGCATCCTCCTTCGCAAGGAAGTCAGCAGCCTCATTGCCTTCCGGGCCGGTATGGCCAGGAATACAGACCATAGACAATCTACTAAGTCTTACTATCGAGGGAAGTCATTTTTGGCAATTTGCTACAAATTTAGACGTTTCTCGGTAGGAGCCACGAGCTTCCAACGCCGCTTGACTGTTCGAGAATATTTTTATTGACTTGTTTATGAGGTTGGATTCTTCCAGTTTCTCCGCACACAATTTGATAGAGTGAATTTCCGCTTGAAATACAGTCGCATAAGTTTCTAGGCAGGTTGATATCTCTGTCCTGGGTCTGCGACTGAAAACACTTGCACCAGAACCTGAAGCTGTTTTTATTCCATCTGTGAACCAACAACTATCTGCTCTTAATATTTCCGTCTCCCGGAGGATCCAGTCTTCTCTACACGGGAACAGTACTTTATGAGGCAGCTCGTAGTTTTATATATAAAATGGGTCTCTGATTGGTAGTACAAAGGAAGGGATTCGCTCGTGTAAACGTTGTTAGTTGAGATATTCAATATTCTGATTCGGTCTCAGAAACTGTTTTCTAGTTTTGGGAATATGATATAATGGTTTTGACAATGAACGATGTCTATTCAAAGAAAAATAGTTGAAACTCACAGGAAGCCTCAAGTCTCTTCAAACTCCTTCCTGTCGGGATATAAATAGTTCTGATCACCAGAAGTAGAAAGCACACGATTGAAATGTAAATAATAAAACGTGTATCCACTGTGAGAACCAGTCCTATGTGACCAATTGTAGCAAATAGTACCTGTGGTTTAATAAATTATATTAGTAAACTCCAAAAGAATCAATATATAGTAGCGCTCACCCCCAAACATTCTTTCAGAATAAATGGCAAATGCTCATCAATTTGTGCCAAGTCTTCCGAAAATCTATTCAAAACGTTACCGATGAAGTGAGAATCAAAAAAAGACATGACAGAGTTGACAACACTGCCGACTAAAGCTGTATGTAATTTTATGGAAGCCCTTCTGCAAAAGTCGAAAATTGCATATGTCATCATCAGCGCAAGAATGGTGTTGGAAAGCAAAAATACTGAATACATTCTGAAAGTTTTGTTCTCTGTTGCTTCGGCTTTTGAAACTGTATGATTCAAGTCAAAAATATTCGTGGTGACACTTGGAAACTGAATCTCCTCTTGTAAGGTCAGAACTTTCTGCTTCTCATCAACCCTGTAAATTAAAAAAAAAAATCAGTAACAACTATGTGGAAAAGTACGGAAGCGTAGAAGGGCCAAAGATTATTCGTTCATTTGATCAACCATAATTTCGACTTAAAAGTCGAAATTTTGACTTTTATCTTGAAATTTCGACTTTTATCTCGTAATTTCGACTTTTTTCTCGTAATTTCGACTTTTATCTCATAATTTCGACTTTCATCTCGTAGTTTCGACTTGAAAGTCATAATTTTGACTCAAAACCAGAAATATGGTTCCTTAAGTGCATTATAATTTACTATGAGGTGATGTTAACAGGAGGTTCGTGAAATTGTTGTGTTATTGAAATTTCAATGGAAATATGTGGCTGGAACTCCGAATCAATCAATGATTTCAACAATTTCGAACTGATGTTGAAACAAGAACAAATATTTCAGTTGGATATACATTTTCGAAGATGCTCGTGTCAATGATATTTCATTAAATTTTACCACTCTATTTATATATAGAGACTGGCTTGAACGTTTGAAGTTCCATTTGCTTTAGATTCACTCTATTTATTATTTCTCATCTTGACACTTGAAAAAATTTGTAATTTTTAAGATCATATCATCGTCACATTCGTCATGATCAAAACAATAGAATTGAATAATACTAATTGATTTCCCTCTGATGTTCGTTCAGCTGCCGATTCATATTTTTTCACATGAATTTAAATTTTCCCAGGTAATTGGAGGATATTTCTCAAAAGGAGGATGTCCCAGAACTTCACGAATCGATATGGGCACTGAAAATGAAGTAATGGAGAGGATATAAAAAGTCTTTAATGAAGTAGGTATTTACTGAATCAACAAATCAACCCTGTTTTTTTGTATGGAAAAAGCATGCCCAATCAAAGGATAGAATCTTGGTGGTCTATATTACGTAAACATAATGCACAATACTGGATGAATTTATTTCAAACCCTATTTGATGCATCATTTTCGGACAGAATTTCACTAGTTCGGACGTCCATTGTCTACTATATAAAATGATTTGAAATCCCTGGAACAACTAAAAAAAGAAGAATTAAAAATAAATAGCTGAAAATAACAATTATATTAAGCAAAAATAAACCTGAAATGAAATAATAGTGAAATAAAATACAAGTAAAATAGAACAATTGAACAAAAATAAAGAAATGAAAAAAGAAAATAAAAAGTTGAGAGATTCCAAGTCACGTTAGTTTACGACGTTTCGATTGTTAGTATCTACAATCGTCTTCGGGTGATGACATGGATTTCATATCATTTTATATAGTAGACAATGGAAGTCCGAACTAGAGAAATTCCTCATGAAACATTGTCAATCATCTTCAAACAAATTTTCGGACAGGTCTTTAGTTCAATTTTGTTTCATACCATTAGTACAAGTAAGAGATGAGTTGTTGTTAATGAAATTTTAAATATAATTTTCATTTCAGAGTGATCTTGACCAAGTATGTTTTGAATGGAGTATTCATAGAATACGGAAAACAAGAAATGCTATTGCTCCAGCAGGGAGACCAAGTATATTGTATGCCATGCCTTCCCTTTATGGAGTTACAAATCACCTCATCAAGATTCCATCATTCGCGTTTAAACATTTTTCGTCGGAGTGTACATATCCCCGGATAGCCTGTGATGAAGATTTTTGGAAATTATGTTCAATTTTTTTGAAAAAAATAATTACACAAGGTCCTTAGATTCTTATGCCACAATTGATTCATACATTAACCTGAGAAGTGAATTAATTATGTTATCTGAATAAATTTTAGATTGATATTATGCATTGATATTATTCAGTACCTTTTTGAAAAAGTAAATGCTTTCCGCACGAGTGGGAGAAAGTCGACTTTGGCCAAAATGTTAGTTTCTCATCATAGTAAATCAATCTGATCAGTAATATCCTTACTTCATTATCAAAACGTATCTAAAATTCAGTTTTTCACTACAACAGAAGAAATTTCCAGTAGAAATTCATTAACATTTTGAAAGAATACTCTACACTTTCATATCTTAAACGTCATGTAGAAACACAATTTGCAATAGCAACCAAATAATACTGTCGGTATGTTCTTCGAAGAGATACAATGTTCATTTCATAGGTATTTTGGGTTTTCTCTCCTATTTTCGATAATCGTAGAGATCTAATGACGCAAAAAACTAACTGGAGCAGAATGGTTCCCGAAGGTTCAACCAAAAAATGAGTAGGCTTCGAATATTCAATAAAATCGGTTTCTGTCATATTTCTTCGTAAAAACATACTATGAGAAGATTGGAGCACTGTCGAAGTGATTTGAAAAGAGTGTCGAAATTTGGAGATAAAAGTCGAAATTACGAGATAAAAGTCGAAATACGAGATGAAAGTCGAAATTTCGACTTTTAAGTCGAAATTATGGTGGATCAAATAAAAAAATAATCTTTGGCCTTTCTACGCTTTCGTAGAAAAGTACTTTGATTCAATCTATTTTTATGTGAAGAATTATTTATAATTATATGAGGAGGATGATGAAAAATAATTTATAAACAATCAAAAATCTGATTTTTCAGTTTGTTTTTCTACCGTTGCTAATTCTAATGGTACCTCTGATTTTTTTCCAACCTACACAAATATGATATATGAGTAGCATGAAATGTCTTGAACAAAAGCTAGAAAAAATACGTTATTATGAGATGTGATGCTGACGTGAGTTCTGACTGTTTTTTTTTAACTCCACCATCGACCATTCTTCAACCAATAATATTTATAGTATTCGTATAATAAACTTTTTCGATCAACGTTTCTTTTCAACGTTGTCATTTTATTTACAATTTGTAACGTACATTTTTTAAGGGTAGAAAGTAATATATTTAAGTATAAAGTAATGCAAATTATGAAACAACCACAACCAAAAATTAGCTACCATTCTGGGGTGACTTGAGAATTCCACTGGCGCATTTGCATTTTCAGCTGCAGGAAAACCCGGAAAAATCTGCAGCACCACAACATATGAAGATTTCGATCTGGCCATGTCCGTAAATCTACCATGAATTTAACACGTAGAAATAGAAATGATCAACCTAATGTTACACTTATCACTTATGAAATTGGGTATTGGTGTGGAGGAAAAAAATATGGAATGTTTATCCAACGTTGTGGAAATTGACATTTCGACTTCACTTTGTAGTCGGCATTTTTTTCAATGCGGATTATTGCATAAACATTAGAAGAAGACATTCATCAGACAATCACTAGAAAACAACTATGAAAATCTTCATGTTTCAGTAATAACAAAAATTTATTTTCGATGAAATCATTGGGATATTTACTGCTGAACATAAAATTAGGGTCACTCCGTAATTTGAAAATATGTCACAATTTTTTTTCCAATTTTTTTCCAATGTAATGAATTTCAACTGATCATTGCTTGAAAAATAATATTTCTGTTGTTCATAATTCATTGGAAGTAATGAAAATGAACAAATTCAATTCAGTATGAACAGGAATGAAGTTAACCATTTCAATCTGACGTACTTCTTCTAGGACTGCAGTACTGAGTGTTTCCTCTTCTATCAAAACAATAGCTTGCAAACGACCTGGCATGTTTTAGATCAGATTTTGGATCAAATTCTGCGGAATACTGTCCCATTTCTTCACAAGTATGTCGCGAGGCTCTTTAGAATATTTGGGTGCCGGCATATGTCTCCGTAAAATTTTCCTGATCTCATTCAGAACATGTTCAACGGGGTCTTAATCTGGACTGTAAGAAGTACAAACAAATCGGGTGAGTTGAAACTCATCAATATAGTGAGGGGTGTGCATTATCATGTGTAAATGTTCAGGTATCAATGCGCAGTCGATATCATATTCTCGATAGGAACTAACTCCGTTCGAGCATTAGGCGCATATACCATTCTATGTCATAACTGATCCACCACCAAATGGAAGTAGTTCGGCAATACTTGCTTGAGTATATCTTTTGTCTAGTGGATCACATACTCGTACTCGTCTTTCTGAGCTCGTGTGGCAGATTCGCGATTCGTCGAAAACAATAAATGCCTCAAATCCGCTATTACCCAAGCCAAGTGTTTCGTTCACAATTAAATCTTGCAATCCGGTGTTCACTGAAAAGCGATGATTCAGTAGCTTCAGTTTGAGAAGATAATCCAGCAGCATGGAGACGCCTCCTGACTGTTCATCCAGTCATGTTAATATTTGTCACTTCTTTCAGAAGATTTCGAAGACACACTTCCGTGGCAGTACGATTTCTTAAAGCAAAGAAAACGACTAAGAGGTCATCTCTGGCTGAAAAGTTCTACCTTGCCCTGAACTATGTATTCTAATGAGCAAAGCATTGTCTTCTTACCGCCGCCATATTCGTTGCACCTCGAAAAACTCAAGCCAACGTTACGCAGATTAGCGCTAACCGCGGACATCTTCTGAAGCCGCCACAACTCTTGCCGCAACAACATGACTTATGTTCATTGCAAAACGCCCACATTGAAAACACCACAAGAACTATTTGTAATCCACAAATAAAACCATTAAAACAAAAAATATGTTGATGATGGTTGTTAGGAATCAAAGTTGAACGTTATCGAACATTAACAACAACTTTGTTTGTTAAGTAATTCATTGGTACAGTGCATTATATCCTAAATAGACTCGCTGAAAATATAAATTTTCAACATTATGATTTCGGAGTGACCATAATTTCGTGCCCGGCAGTATAGATATCGCTAAAAACTGTCCATCAATCCACTCACCATTTGGTCAATAATTTATCTGCTAAACTTTGCGTGGTTTGTGTAGTGATTACTAACACCAAATTAACTAAAACCATTATCAGTCCTCCTCCGAATACTATATATTTGTGATAAACGACTAGATTGACCTTTCCTTCCTTTTTTACTTCCCTATATATGTTTTTTCCAACAGTGGTTTGTTCTGTTTCCAACAACTTCGACTCTTCATCTTTCTCCGTATCCTCCTCGTCTTCTATTACATCATTCTCAAGATCGTCATCTTCAAGTACCATCTCCCTCACCTCTTGAATAATTTTCTCATTGGGTTTTCCAGAATCCACTATCTGCCCTCTATCCATAATAATAACATTATCTGCTTCATCAATATGATTGGCTGTTTGGCTAACTAAAATACATATCTTATCTTTCAAGTAATTTTTTATACATTCTTCAAAAATATAATCTTTGACATGAGCATCAAGTGCCGTTAAAGAATCATCCAGTAGGTAAATTTCACTCTCTTTGTAAATTGCTCGGGCCAAATTTATTCTAGCCTGCTGCCCTTTGCTTAGATTCATTCCTCTATCGGATACTATGGTTTCATCAGCCTTTTCCAAAAGATCAAAATCATACTGTAGTGCACAAACTCGTATAACGTCTAGATATCTGAAAACAGTAATTTGCTTATAGTCTGGAATAATGAATACATTAATCGATGTCACAACGATTTGTAATACTGAGGAAAATATTTGGCCACGAGTAATAAACTTGAAATCTAGCCTGCAAACAAAGTAAACAAGGCAGAAAAAATGCATGAAATCCAGGGCGCAAAAAATCCTTACGAAGATCAGTGACGCCACTTGGGGGTGGACAGATTGACACCCTGGCATCAAGTCACAAAACCCTTAAACTCTATCACTACCTGAAAGGTAAGCAGATTCAGGCTTCAGTCCAGCCAAACTAGAGAATTTTTTACTCTATATATTGATGATTTTCATTTCTTTTCACATTCTCCTTTCAGCTTATCACAATATGATGGCATTGATCGTTTTTCAGAAAAAAACTTTCTCTACGAATTCAAACTGAACCAAAGCGCTGCCAACTGAAACAGCTCCAAAAATTGACCAGGCAATCAGAGTGGGCTTCAAAACGTTTTGGAAAGATCAAAAAGCTCGGAAAGTGGATTCTCCACGATTTGAATATTCGACAGAAATTGTCACGTTTTAAAGTCTATTCATTTTTGCTTTTACGCAACCAAAACGATCCTTTTTTATATCAAATAATTACAGAAAAAAAGACTATGGTTACTGTATAGTGGTCAGCGGACGTTATGATTCACTATAACTTTCTGCAACCGGGCCAAACTATCACAGCAGAGTCATATTGGGAAAAAATTGACGAAATATACGTTTCACATATCTTCCTCTGAAAATTTAACAAATTGACCTTCGAAGTTCTGCTTCAGCCACCATACTTTCCAGACCTCTCGCCTACGTACTTTGATAACTTTCTCACCGGTAGAGCCTTCGCCAAACAGGATCAGACAAAATCGTCGACTTCGTTGAATCCCGAGCACACAATTTTTTATGCTGATTGAATTATTTGACTTGTGTTACGTTGGAAAAAGTGCACTCATTCAAATAGCGCACATCTCGATTGAATTGAATGTGTATTTACTGAGATATTACAGGTTAAAGTAGACTCATGAAAAAAGACGAAACTTTTGAAACAATCTAATACAGTTGTACTACAGTTTCGTTTCTGATATGGTGGTCGACGGACCGACAGCAACCATCCACAAAGAAGGAGATGGAGTTCATTTCGTGTTGTGAATGTCCGCCGTTCCATAACGTGCCAGCATCTATTTAAATTAAAAATAGTGTTAATAAAAATTGTTTAAGTGTTTTAAAATAAATAATACTCTCACGCCGGTTGGAGGCTGGGTGGACCAGATGTCCATGTGGGAGTGCTGAAGTGGAATAAATATACAACATCTACTCCCATTCACGCCAGTTGGAGGCCGGGGTGGACCGTATGTCCACGTGGGGGTAAGATCGCAACAATTGATCATTTATGAAGATGATAGCGCCTACCAAAAACGAACATTTTGGGAAGAATAAAAAAAGGGTGCAGTATTGCGTAAAGCAAGACCTTTGTACCCCCTCGAATAAACATGGCTTACTGCGCCTGAATGGAAGCAATAGCCAATAATAGAGAAAGAGAGACAGAGAGAGAGTTGTACTAAAGAATGTATAAATGAACGTCTTGATTGATTACTCATCGAAGAAAAAAGATTGAATTACTTCAATACATTTGTTGCCATTCGCTAGTTGAATGGCACATTGAATGGTGTTATTCATCCAGAATGTATTTTTTCAGTCATATAGTACTGAAAATACAAAAAAACTTTTATGTAAGCATCTGAGCGACCTACAATAAAGTAGATGCTACCGAACTGCCCAACGTGTTTCAATACTTTTTGATTGAATTATTGAGCTCCTCCAACCTTCTGAGAAAAATTGAAGCAATTTGAATGAGATACAAAATAGATATTGAGGTATCCTGAAATGTTATTGGGAAGAATAAAAAAAGGGTGCAGTATTGCGTAAAGCAAGACCTTTGTACCCCCTCGAATAAACATGGCTTACTGCGCCTGAATGGAAGCAATGGCCAATAATAGAGAAAGAGAGACAGAGAGAGAGAGTTGAACTAAAGAATGTATAAATGAACGTATTGATTTATTACTCATCGAAGAAAAAAGATTGAATTACTTCAATACATTTATTGCCATTCGCTAGTTGAATGGCACATATCATTGAATGGTGTTATTCGTCCAGAATGTATTTTTTCAGTCATATAGTACTGAAACTACAAAAAAACTTTTATGTAAGCATCTGAGCGACCTACAATAAAGTAGATGCTACCGAACTGCCCAACGTGTTTCAATACTTTTTGCTCAAAAGCGAAATCATTCAAAGTCCTCTGCGTATTAGAGGTCTTGGTACTATCGGTATAAAAATATTTTCAAATCTCATACATTTACTAAATCCGTTCAAAATATTCACAGTGAAAATCTACTTACCGTTTTTCATTGAACTGTTCTCCAAACAGGATGTTCTGTTTAATAGATGATGGAAACAACCAAGGATCTTGAGATGCGTATGAAATACGGCCATATGAGATAATGTTACCACTTGTCAGTGGATAGTCTTGCAATATAGTCTTCAGAAGTGAACTTTTTCCAGATCCAACCGAACCTGTTACGATTGTTAAACCTGTATCTGCTGTCAAAGATATTATATTCAGTATTTCCTTATTGCCTATGTGTACCTTCGCTTCTTTCATCTCAACCAGTGGTTTGTATGCAGGTATATAGTCGAAATAATGTGGATGCAACTCATCAGCTTTGATCAGTCTATTTACTCTCGTTCCAGCAGACATCAGTTCTGCCACCTTTCCGATGTTGTACGGTATTTTCACTCCAAGAGTCTCTCTGAGGGCATGGAAATTGGAGAGAAGATAAAACACAATTGTGGTATCCGATGAAAATCCCATCCAGATGTATGCAATTATTAGTATATAGAAACCCAGATTGGAGGTGAGGACCCCAATTAGGACTAAAACAGTTCTCAAATAGAAACCCCGAAGCATTTTGTTCACTTCTTTCCTGGAAAATCAATGTTGCTTTCAGAATTTTTATTAATGACAATTTGAGTAATGAAATTAATAGATTGGAAGTTTACTATCAAAAATATTTTCATTCCGTGGAATGATTCATTTCAAATAAGCCGGTATATAAACACATTCGCAGTCACAGTGACAAAATTCAAATTCAAATTTATTGCATCCATATCCTATTAACAAGAAATAGATCGGATTAGTACAAGTTCACAAATTAAATTGTGTCTGATGAATATAATAAAATGACATACTTAAATAAATAATGGTTTAAAAAACAAAATTACATTCTTGAATATTATGAAACATCGAGTCAAAAACCGAATTTGAATCGGGTATTTCAGTGATGCATACTTCACCGCCTGTGAAAAATCACACAAAGATAAAGCAAGATATGAAGAAATATGAGAAGGTCAGTACTGAAAGTCACTTATGACAAAAAAGTTCGAATTCACGGAGGAAGTAAAAGCATCCTTCGGCCAGTACTTTCTTTAATTTGCATTTGAAAATATTTGGACTTCTGCTCTCTCTCAATTCGAGGGGCAGAGGGTTGAATAGACGAATTCCAGTAGTGACTGGATGGAGTGACAAATTTTCTTCGGTAGGATATTTCTTTTGTTTCTGGTGTCATACATGTGAATATCGCAATGCCTTCTAAAGCTGCTTAGGTTTGAAAATGTGAGTCAAAAGTTTTAATAAATAAATACAGGGCACCGTGAGAATTTTATTACTTTTGAAGGTGTCTCTGCATGATGTTCTATAAGATAAGCAGAAAATACGTCTAATAATACGTTTTTGCAACACAAACACTCTTTGTAGTTCGGACGCTTGACCCCAGACAACTATACTATATGAAATAGCGGAATACCCCAGTGCATAGTAAACTTCAAGCAGACAATCCCGTTTCAGCATGTTTTGGAGTGTGGTGACCACATAAAAACATTTGTTCAGCTTGCCACAAACTTATAGATTATAGATGGCTCAATTGACACTCCTTCAAATGAGAGCGGTAAATGCAGAGGTGTTCTATGTTTGCTACAAAACACTATATATTCCATCTTATTATGATTAATCATGAGTTTATTTTTAAAGCACCAGTCCTTGAACTCTTTTAGGATTGTGTTGACCTTCTCAGATAGTCTTACAGATGAAGTATCTGACACAGTGATGCAAGTATCATCTGCGTACATAAGCACCCTTCCTTGAGATATGTGAATGGGAAGGTCGTTAATGAAAATGAGGAAAATTAGAGGACCGAGTACGCTTCCCTGGGGTGTACCAATATCTGTTTCAAATTCCTCCGAAATGACGTCATCAATCTCAACAATGAACTTTCTTCGTTCGAGGAAGGACACGATCCACTCATTGATTGGGCCGCGGACACCAAGGTTATTCAATTTATCAGATATGAAAGAAATATCGACCGAGTCGAAAGCTCTAGTAAGATCAAAGGAAATTGAGATCACATATTCGCCAGAGTCCATTTTGTTGTTGGCATATTGAACAAATTCAATCGTGCTTGTTTCAGTTGATAAACCACTACGGAATCCATGCTGATTGTCACATAATACCTGATATGTGTTTTTTAAAATAAGAATTATAGAGGCTAACTTGAGGCTAGAGGGAAATTTGCCTTGCAATACGGACAATTAATAATATGCCCGAAAGCTGGTGCAATTATATCACTGGTGTCTTTAATTACTGAAATCAAAATTTCGTCCTAACCTGTAGATTTTTTATTCGGTAATAAGTTCATGACCTCAAGTATTTCGTCCTTTGTGACGGGTTCAAAAAATATTGATGCAGGATTGAATTCACCTGTGGTACATTGTGTGGAAAACTGTCGACCAAAATGTTCATTCAATTTATCAGTTATCACTGTTGATAAATATCGTCCAAACACAGGGGCCATGTTTTCTGGTTCGATTATGACTTCGTTATTAAAATCAATTTCAGATATTTTGTTAGATTTATGTTTTCCTTTAACTTTGTTTACAATGTGCCAAAGTGTTTTCGTTTTGTTATCCGATTCACTAATGATTGCTTTATAATGCGATTTTGTTTTCGAGAGAAATTTTCTTATCAATATTCCTCCTCAGTAATTTATACTTTCCTTCTACCGTTACATCGTCTGTCCTCTTGCGTAACCAATCCAAATCCTTCAATCTTTCTCTCATTTGATTTAGTTGATGTGAAAATTTGATTTTTTCACTTCTCATAGAAATTTTTTTTTTAGTTCTTTAGGAAACGAGCAATAGAAACACCAAAGAAAATCATTCATGTAGTTGTCAATTATGATATCAACATCGTTGATATCACTCGTTTCTGGAGTTCTGATCAATTTTTCTGTGAAAATATTTTTCTACATTCGTTACTGAATTGAGAACCGAGGACAAGCGACAGGTAGCGATTTGTCCGTGATGATCAGAGAAACCCGGGTCAAGATTAGTGGTTTCAATTAATTCAGGTGTATTCGACACAACATAATCAATAGCAGAGGAACTTATATAATTTACTGTTGAAAATGTTCTGGTATTTTCATTTATCAGAGACGTCATCTCGTAAGAACTGAAGAGATCTTTCAATATTTTCGAGACCAAATTATTAATAGATTGATCTATGTTTAGATCGCCACATAAGAGTATGGGCTCAAAGTTATGTGTTGCAATGGATAAAACCTCAGAGAGACGAGTAAAGACTGTGTTCCTACTTTTCTCATTATTGATGGGAGGCCGATAAATGTTAATTATGCAATATTTATTATGAAAAGCAACTGCTGAGCATTCAATTACCATTTCAAGAGATAAATCATTGATCGCCATGAGTGGTCTACTTAGAGATATAATTTCGTTCTTGCAGAAAATCGCAATTCCACCGTGAGATCGGTTGATACGGCAGTAACAACTCGCTAAACTAAAATTGTTAATCATAGTGCTCTGAATACTGACCTTACTCATCCAGTGTTCACTGAATAATAAAAAGGAAAAGTCGTCCTCACTGATCACCGATTCAGTTAAATTGATCTTATTTGAGAGACATTGAATATTTATACTAAAAACACTGAAAACATCATGACTGAGTTGATACGGATTGAGTTTGCAAGTTTTTTGGAAAGATGAAACGTCGTACCGCACACTATTCAGGCCATATTTCAGGGTTATAGATTTCCTTTACAAGTGACAAGGGAAACGAAATTTTGAAAGATGCTGTTGATGGGTCTTTTTTTACAATTTTTCACAATGGAAATCAATGTGAGGGGCAGTTACCTTTATGAAGTCTCTTAATGATTCAGCAGTTTCTTCAGAGGATAATCTGTACACATGGAGAAAACCTAGTCGAGGTACTGTTTTGACATTACCTGATTTGTTTTTACCGATGATAACGTTTTGTTCACGTTTATTGTAGTGGGTCGTTGAGCTTCTCGACGTATGGAAGGACTGGAGAGGCTCCTAAATGTGTATTGTTTTTGATGGGATGTATAGGTTTCTTCAAAGCATCAGAAAATGTTTTACTAATAGATGGAGTAGTTGAGTCTGAAGAGGAACTCTGCAATTGAATGCTTTCACCTTTTATTGCTGTTGATGTATTGTGATTTTGAATGTCAGATGTCGGTCTGGTGACGGTTTCATGAGTTTGATTAATTATCAAATTATTAATTGTTTCTAGGTCATGAATTCGTTTTTCCAAATGTTGATTCAGGTTCGTTAGTAACCCTAACTCACGGTTTTTGGCTTTGTTTTGAAAAATGCACTCTTGTCGATTACACTCCTTATTTGGGGTTAACTTCGTACATGAATCGTGAAACACATCTTCGTCAATATTTCTACCTTCACAGTACTTAACGATGTACTTTTTCACAATATCATTATTCACGTTACTGGTGGGCACTATTTTATTCACGAATAAGTTGAGAATTTCACTCTTTGTCAGTTTATTCAGCTCCGCACAAATAACTTTGTTTGCTTGTTCAGCCATGTTGATTAGTGATCTTCNCTCTGAAATACATATTCAGCAGACGACTTCAATACTAGCTCATCAGCAAAGGAAAATCAGATTATCAAATAAAATTACATAAATCAGGTATCCAAATTCAATATTTTAGTATCCAATTAATTAAGAAAATATTCAAATAAGCATAAAATTCAAAAATGACCTAAATAGCGAAGCTGACAATATTCTACATAGAATCCTAGCTGTCTGGAATAAACTCGAGCATTGTACAACGTCTGGAACTGATCAACATTTAGAACTCGTTTCATATTCCGAATTCCATATGGAATAGAATTGAAAGATATTCAGATATTCATCAATGTGACAACTGGCCAATATTGTTTTCAACGATTTTGCTTTTACGAAATCAGAGCTGCAATTTAGAAGGGGGCTCCACTAGGAAGTGTGCTAAATCCGCTGTTGTTAATCTTCGAAAGAGATAATGTAGGTACCTTCTTGGTTGAGAGCAAATTCGACTGCCGCTGATTTGTCGGTTTGTGCGAGTCGACAATTCTTGTATTTAGAGAGGCGGGAGCCCACACTTTTATTCGTGGTTCTAATGTAGACCGACCGTAGCTACAAGGAACCTGGTATACCCGGTGTGTTGCTAAAGTTTCTCTGGGGTCCTTAGTAGACCTAAGACTTTGTCTGATAATTTTTGTTTGCCTGAATATTGGTTTCATATCGTGATCCTCCAAACCCACTCTGTAACATTTTCAACACAGGGAAAGAAAGCTTTTCCCTTGACCAGCCTAGCTGGGGCTACTTTGGCGTTCTCACTCTTTGGTGGTATGGCCCGCTCAAACACTTCTCCGATGTACCCATTCCCTTTGAAGGTATTTTTCAGATGATTGAATTCCCTAGGAAGACTCTCAGGTTCAAAAATACGCCAGCTTTCCCAACCAAGGTTTTGTAAGGGATGGTGGTTACAGTTTTTGTTCAGGTACCTGTCTGTGGGTGTTGATTTCCCGTACACTCTGTGGCCCACTATACCATATTCAAGTCTGATCACAAGTACATTCCCCTGGGTTTTCTAGTTCTATTGTAAATTAGATTTTTGGGTCGGGAGAGTTTAGTATCTGTCATCATTTTGCCATACCACGAACGTATCATCAACCAAGCACAGCCAACAAAATGGTTTCACGGTCGGTTGCTTTGAGGCCGGTTGTTCGAAATTTTCAATGAAAAAGTTTGCCACCCACTTCCCAACTACCCTATAGATTTGAAAAGTGATATATGAAAGCTATCTCTTCACATTCAACATACTTATTTCGAATCTAAAGCAAATGGAACTTCAAACGTTCAAGCCAGTCTCTATATACCTACACAGTAGGTTTAATGGACTGACGCCTATCAGAAAACAACTACTCCCCTGGCTAATACCACGAAGGGCGTTGGATTATATCAGACAGGCGTCAGTGCAGGAATCTTCACAGAAAATGTCCTGCATANTCAGAACGCATGTTCAGTAGGCAGAAACATATACAGACTCTACTGAATACAAATTATATAGACTCTTCTCATGATATTTGAAAACTATTATAAAATAAAGTGTTCCAGGAAATTTACCTTCTTGCAGCGTTGATTTTGTCTTGAAAAAAACTGAAACTGTATCTCCACTCAGAACGCATGTTCAGTAGGCAGAAACATATACAGACTCTACTGAATACAAATTATATAGACTCTTCTCATGATATTTGAAAACTATTATAAAATAAAGTGTTCCAGGAAATTTACCTTCTTGCAGCGTTGATTTTGTCTTGAAAAAAACTTTCCCATGCGTACATTTTGATTATTCTTATGGTTGACAGTGTTTCTTGAGTAACTTGCAAGCGCTCGTCAGTTTTTTCTCCAGTTTCTAATCTCAATTTGTTTATCCACTTTCCTATTAGAACTGAAAAAAAATTGAATGATCAGAATCAATCATGTTCCGTAAAACTGGTTATTCTGTTTAAAAATCTGTTTTTCGGTTAATCAGCTGTCGCCCCCATACAAACAACAACTCTAAGAAGTTGAGAAACTTGTGCGAGCTAAGGAGTAACGAGGTCTAACCTTTTAACGTGTGATTCCTTTACAATAAATGTTTTCATCTAATGAATTGAAAGAAATTGTTTCTCATGTCATCCAAATTGATAAAGACTAGAATATCTCTGAATTACCTTGGAGTATGAGTTTTTCGAACAAGGTATATAAATTTAACAGATTCGAAAAAGAGAGAAAGTCTTACGATTCTGTTTTGATTTTTTTCCAAAGACAATTTACTAGTTTATATTGAAAGGGTTATATTTTCAGGAATGACAAATTTTTGGAAAAAGAATTTTTCTTTCGTGTAATTCAATGTTTATATGAAAGTAGCTGTTTCAGGAAGGCTTTTTCTTCCAGTTTACGTCTGAAAGTTACTTCTTTGCATGATCTACACATTCATATACAGGGCTTTTCATGATGAGCGTTAATTAGCCGTTTCTGGCAAACTATTCAACGGATCAACCTGAAAATTCCACAGTATACATAAGTCAAATTTCTCAACAATGTACTAGTTATTGTAAAAAAGAAACTCACCTTGAACGGGTATAGACAGAAACAATACTCCGATACCAATAAAGGACGTACTACCAATTTTTGCAAATATCAAATATGATACGATACATACTTGGATCACTGCGTAACTCACATCACTCAAAATCCATATGGCATCTTTAAATGTATGAACATCTTTGGTTACCAGGGTCACTATATTTCCTAGTGTTATTTTAGATAAAAAGGTAGGAGTAATTCTAAGAGCTTTTCTGTACAGTAAAGAAGAGAATGAAGTTTTTACTTCAAGCCCAAGCTGTTGCACCCAGAGAATGTAATTATGAATGAAGAAACGAAATGAAAGACGAGCAAATATCAGCAGAGCACCATAGTGATAGCCATCAGTTTTTGTCAAAGTTGTTTGTCCTGGTTGGAAGTATGCTATGAGGTTGGTGATAGCGTAAGGTTCCAACACGCTGAAAATCAATAAAATTACTTTCATTGAATTGTTTATCAAAAAATGTATTCAATGCAAAATATTCAATAATCACTATTTCAATTCCCTAATACTGTTGTGCCAAGAAAAGGCGATGTCATCTGCCCTGCTCTCAATAGGATAAATAGAAGACTCAATCCAAGATAAAGATGAAGGTAACTATTCACCTGCGTTCATCCGGGAAACATTAAGATTTGTAGATGAATTTTATTAGAAAAGTGCTATAAAGCAATCTAAAGCACAAATATTTGGTGTGAATAAAATCCAGTGATCAAGAACTGGAGTCAGCCCAAAAGGAATACAGCGAGTAGTCTATATAAAAATTAGGCTAAACGACATGATATAACAGGAAGCTGAACTGATAATAATTACCTCTAGACTAAAGTGTGAAGTTGTCGGTTTGTGAAAATTTTTCTGAAACCTCAGCGAGGCGAAGATCTTCGGAAGTAATGAGCTTAGACAGCTATTGTCAGAGTCTGAAATGGAAAATCAAGGAACTGAATTCAAGCATATAGAAAAGATGAAAATCTGCAGAGTATAAACGAGAAACTAGAACGGCTAACTTGCGAAAATGAGAACATTGAACAGAAATAAAACTCTGATAGGCCAGAATATGATTTGAAATAACAAAATTGGTATTTCAAAACATTTAAAAAACTACCATACTGATGGAAAAATTTATAAAGAACAAGTCAAAAAATATATAGACAGGATCTAAAGAATTGGGAAATTGAAACTGGAAATCAACAAGCCGATATCACATTAGATGACAGCAGGTCAAAGAAGTGGGAACTGTTGAGCAAGTCAAAGCGTCTAGAAGGAACTGATATATGACAGGATGGAGTCTACACAAAGGAGACAATAAGAATGAGAAAATAACTACTCCCAGATCTTGTAGCAAGACAAAATAAATAAATAAGGAAAGGAATCAAAATTAAACAACATTTACGGGCACAATATTCAAAAGTATAAATAGCATTTCAACACCTAAAACAGACATTGGACAACATATTCTTGAAAATAATAATGAAAAGTTCGGACAAAAGAAATGTCACCTCAAAATTAATATGAAGATTTAAAAGCTTTCATTATTACAAGAAAACATGCACTCCAAAACACAATAAGAGTATTAGAAATTAAAGTTGGGAAAGTTAACGTTGGATATCATTATTTGAAAATTATTAGATTTCCTAAACCTATAAATGGATGTGAACAAAACTAAAGTAATGGTTATAGATATCAGCAGCAACCAAATATATGTATATCCAAATGAACAACTAGAACAAGTGAAAATCTATAAATACTTGAAAGTACAGATACAAAGAGAAGGTAATATGGAGGGAGAAATAAATGAAAAAATTTGTAACTCATCCGAAGCCTACCATGCCATGAATAAAACTTATTAAAGAAAGAAACCTGACAAAAAAAATAACATTTACACAAACATATATCCACCAATAATGTACGGTAGCGAAAGCTGATGATGCGATAAAGAATGATTCAGTTAGAGAGGAATTGGAAGTATAATTTCTTTCAAATATAATGAAATCTCAATAAGTAAGAAAATATTGCTTATGGGTGAATTATACAATAGCTTTGTTCAAATTGAAAGGAGTATATTTTCCCAGAAGAGATTCGTTTTTGGAAAAGAAATATTTTTGGCTTTCTGCTTCTCCATCAATATACAAAATAGTGTTGTATAGCATTCCTATATCTGGTTCAATTCCATAACGAATATTTTACTCAATGTTAATATGGAATAAGCTGTTACAAAAGTAGTTTTTTTTCGATATGTGATGGAATTAGCCTATACTTGAAGGAAATCCAAATGAAACTGTGAGATTTCCACAGCACAGTTCACAACAGCAAAACACGTGTTTAGCTATATAATAGCTTCCTCAAGCATTTCAACTTATGAAAACACTTAATCTTCAAAACTCTTCCAAAATACAAATCGTGAAATTATAAAACAACAACAAAAATTAATTGGCGCTCCGGGGCGACTTCATTGATTCCAGTGGCGCATTTGCTTTTTTAGCTGTAGGAAAACCCGGAAAACCGGCAGAACCACATCATCTGAAGATCTTGATCTGCCAATGTCCTCTCTCTCATAAAACAAAATGTAGGGTGTCTCCAGAGGCCCCAATAAATTCAATACTTCGCCAGAACACTTAGTGACATGACTATCGTCAAATTTAAACCAGTTCGTTTCGTCTTTGGCCAAGGCGTAATAGTGACCAGATTCAACACACAGTGAACAATGACGTCTTAAAGATTATAATAGTGATCTGCTAGATTGAAGTGTTCATCTACTTCGAACCTTCGTAGCAGTTTGGTGCTTCCGTCGGAGATTGAGTCATATTTGAAGATCATTAGTGTTATTATTAGATTGACTGGTGCCTCAGCTATACTTGTTTTCTTATAACAGTCAGTTAGTTTGGCGCATGTTTGGCAATACAGTCGATCAGCACCTGTTAAAAATTCCATTTTCAGATGATTTAACAATAAGCTTTGCACGGACTGATTATTAGTCATATTAGGAAACGCTAGTTGAAGTTCCGGAAATTCACATACGTTTTTGCTACCTCTTGAATATTTACTACAAAGTAAACAAGTGAGGATTTTTCCAGCAAAAGATTTACAAACACAAGATGAAATGGACTGTACGGAATCATTCAATCCAGTACGGTCAGGAGTATTGATTCTGCTATTGTTTTGCTCACGAAGAGTATTCAATAAGAACCCTAAGAATTCGGAACGATTCTCTTGTTGTCCTAAAGAGTATCTAGTGGATTTCAAAGACTACAGGAAATCGGTTGGAGGGAAAATGATACATTCTTACGAAACTGCAGCTGCATGAACAGGTGTTTGAGTTTGGTGAATAAGTCGGAGATATTCTCGTTCTCGTTCATCATTAAAACCTCGTTCTTGAAATTCTTCGTCATGAACAACACTTTTGAAATACTATCCATGTTTCTTGAATTATCTAATCCAATTTTCTTCCCTAAATTTTCAGGGCAACTCTCTACTGATTCATAAGGAAGAACATGTCTCACAGAATCTGCATAAGAACCATTTCTCAAGCTGCAATCGATCCTTCCAAGTGATGAAGGTTTCATCCAAATCAATGTCCAACTTTGTAAAGCGTTCATTCCAAACTGAATTGCTTTCTTCCTTCCTTCGGAAGTTTGTATCGAGATGGAGGAGTAAAAAGACAAAAACCCATCTCCTCTTTACCACAAACATTTCATTATTCTGCAATATCGTCAAAAATATACTCAAATTCAATGAGATTTAAAGAAACCAGTGAAAATTGATATGATTACTCACGTTCTGAATATTTGAACCACCGCATGAACGAAGCACATCCAAACATACCTCCAACCATATCTCCTCCATAACATTCTGACAACAGACGGTTGCTCGTTCTTTTCAGTTTCTACTATCCATTGCTCTTCCAATTTATTTCCACATCTTTTCGAATTACATTTAGTTAATACCTCGTACAAATCTTCTTCTTTGAGATCGCGTTTGAAAGCTTTTTTGAATAGACCTACTAAGTATCTGAAAAAATATTATATCGACACTAAGAAAATATATTGTGTCCATCAACATCAGAACATGGTCTATTGAAAATACTTTTCTCCCACCAGATCAAAAATATTATGTCTCGATTCGCCATTCGCTAACCAAGTTAGCATCATCAGGAAATGACTAAGACTTATTTTTGTGATTGGCTTTATAGTACAAAAACATTTACGTGATGTCTTCTCCAGAGGATCAAATATCATCTCTATTGAGATATTTGACAGAAAAGTATAGTGGTTTTATGATATATTTGTAGAATGTGTTCCAAAACATATCGATTGTGGCGGTGAATATAATATTATCAACAGTCAGTATTCTAAGTACACGAGGGTCAAAGTCTGAGTACTAAGTATCGGTAGAATTTAAGTGTGTTGAAGTTGGTTTACTCGAAAAATGACAAAAGTTAGGCGAATGAAAAGTTACTTCGTTATTTCACCAACAAGGAAATGGAAGCCATTTTCAAGAACCACTCGAAGGTCCATGACTCGACAACGGAGTCGTAATCTATCTGACCCTCAAGTCTCGTCACTGGCTTTGTTTTTGCTTTGTTCAGTTCCAAGTGAACACTGATAATCTTATCTGTGTGATTGATGACTTGTTAGTTCATTTTACCGGAAAAAAATATTCACAGACTGTACAATTCTCACTGACTCTTTCAGTTTTTCATAAATCATCCGTGTTTAAATCAATGATACACAGAGCTTTCCCAATCCCTTCACCTGAAAAGAATTTCCAGGGTGAACTAGAAATAATTCAACAAATTGCAGTAAACAATCAGGTACCAGTTTCTCTAATATCAAAGATAATATCAGATAAAACTCATAAAACACTCATTAGTAAATTATACTCAAACAACATAAAACATAATACATGTAAACTTTCAGAATATATTCAAAATTACTTCTCTGAATACAAAATAACAACAGCTCTCATTAGTTATAATAATTTAGGCAGAACTCTGTTAAATGCAAAATCCAAACGAGAATGAAGCAATCATAGAATAGAGTGGGGAGAATGCCCTGCAGTATATCCAGGGCAAACCGCTTCGTGATTACGTCTGTTTGGACAAAAAATGTACAATGTGTGAACATCTAAAAGAATCAAAATACAACGTAAGTAAAGATAACCTCAAAATCCTACACATAGGTAATTACGGAAAGAATATCAATTTGCGGAAAGCCATGGAAATTATTGAATCAATTAAAAACTCGAAATATATACTTTGAAACGAGTAACTCGATTCATGTAGGTCTCCACTCTCGAATTTATAGGCTCTGTTGAAAATTCTTCTATTGGTCTAGCCGATGTAAGTTCTGGGGCAGGTAGAACATGGTATTTCGTACATACCTTGTGCCTCATTGCGTATCGTGTCCTTGAGTGTTCTCTTTTACGAACACAAAGTTTTATATGTATAATCAATGTTTTGTGTTATTCAAGTTCAGAAGAATCTCAATGATTGTTGAAAATGTCGGAAAGAATCAAGTCGAATGGGAGCTCACATCTAAAATTCTGCCTTATCCTTTTGATTTATGATAAAACAATGCATGATGAAGTTTTCCTTTTTCTACAGGTCTACAGAAAATTCTGCGATGGCATATGTCTATATTTTAAGGATATAATTTACACACTTTGATGTTTGAAAAGTGGTCACATATAATATGGTATTTGGAAAGGTATTTAGACGGATACGCCATTGATCATCATCAAATTCAATTCATTAGTCACCATATTCTGATTATAATGGTCCTTCATACCACTCACACAATCAAAAATAATATCTTAGCTGTCTCATATCGACGCGACAAGTATCATGAAGTAAGGATATCATTAGTAAATTATACTCAAACAACATAAAACACAATACATGTAAACTTTCAGAATATATTCAAAATTACTTCTCTGAATACAAAATAACAACGGCTCTCATTAGTTATAATAATTTAGGCAGAACTCTGTTAAATGCAAAATCCAAACGAGAATGAAGCAATCATAGAATAGAGTGGGGCGAATGCCCTGCAGTATATCCAGGGCAAACCTCTTCGTGATTACGTCTGTTTGGACAAAAAATGTACAATGTGTGAACATCTAGAAGAATCAAAATACAACGTAAGTAAAGATAACCTCAAAATCCTACACATAGGTAATTACGGAAAGAATATCAATTTGTGGAATGCCATTGAAATTATTGAATCAATTAAAAACCCAAAATATATACCTCGAAACGAGTAACTCGATTCATGTAGGTCTCCACTCTCGAATTTATAGGCTCTGTTGAAAATTATTCTATTGGTCTGGCCGATGTAAGTTCTGGGGCAGGTAGAACATGGTATTTCGTACATACCTTATGCTTCATTGCGTATCGTGTCCTTGAGTGTTCTCTTTTACGAACACGAAGTTTTATATGTATAATCAATGTTTTGTGTTATTCAAGTTCAGAAGAATCTTGATGATTGTTGAAATTGTCGGAAAGAATCAAGTCGAATGGGAGCTCACATCTAAAATTCTGCCTTATCCTTTTGATTTATGATAAAACAATGCATGATGAAGTTTTCCTTTTTCTACAGGTCTACAGAAAATTCTGCGATGGCATATGTCTATATTTTGAGGATATGATTTACACACTTTGATGTTTGAAAAGTGGTCACATATAATATGGTATTTGGAAAGGTATTTAGACGGATACGCCATTGATCATCATCAAATTCAATTCATTAGTCACCATATTCTGATTATAATGGTCCTTCATACCACTCACACAATCAAAAATAATATCTTAGCTGTCTCATATCGACGCGACAAGTATCATGAAGTAAGGATGTGATTACGATGGTTTTTGGGAAAAAGTTTTAGGCTTTCACTTCTCCATCTTTGTAAAAAATATTGTGTGCGATTGTGATCAAAATTTAGTTCAATTGTGAAAATTGAGTACCCTCGTGAATTTGTCGTGTTGTTAATAATAATATACAATTGAGAGATATAATTGATATATTTGATTTTAATTTTTTTTTTGTAAACATGAATTATTTCTAAAAAGAAAGAACAAGAAATATGCTGGATTTGTTCGATACTCATGCACACTATACTATTCCAAATGATCTCATAATATCGTATTTCAATCAAGGAATTTTTGGATTCTCATTTGTTAGACTATTCAACAAATTTGTTCCTTAACTTTGTGAGTGACATATACAAATTCTATAATCGTGGATAAACAAAGCAATCTACTGAAAATATTATTTTGACGAACATTGATAATTCATAAAGAAACACAAAATGCGAATCAGGTGACAAAAATCTGGATTTCAATGTCAAATGGATTTGTGGCTACACTTGAATATGTACCTATATGATTATATAGGGTGGTTATAAAAATCACAATTATTCATGTGTATAGGAGACAACGATAAAGTGGTCAGTCGGGCTTGACCTCTCCGAATAATGCTCCACTCTGACGCCTAGAAGGTAGTTGTTTTCCGGCAGGCATTTATCAGAACCCACTTTGTAGGAACGTTGGGAGAAATGAATGTTTGTTTTCTTGTACGTATGTACCTTTTCTTGGTACAATCTTCTGAAATATTTTGACTTCTATCAAAGTATGAGTATATGGATGTTTTTCCTGCTTTTGAGACTTCATTCATGTGATATAGTGTTTCTCTCAGGCGAAGGTTTCATACAGGCAGTCAAACCGCATTGAAGTCAGTCGAGTACCAGGCACTCTGTTGTTTGGATCGAATCTTTCCGGCACTGCTGAGAGGTTATACCTCAAAAACGGATTTTAACTGATCTACTCCATTGATTTCAGCGTCTGTCGAAAATAATTCAATGTTCATCGTGGTATAAGCCAGGAAAGTAATTATTTTCCGGCAGGCATTCACCAGAATCTCATGTGTAGGTACGCTACATGTAATTTTATGTAAAACCGGTTTCAATAAAAATGTAGATTGTGGAAGATCAGAAACTGTAACAACGACTGAACTAAAAGGAGCTTCGCTTTGTGTGATGAAAGAAGATCCTTCAATTGTACCAGGAAGATTGTACTGCAGCCTAAAATCATACCCCCATACCCATATATCAGATACAGAGGGTACAAGCTCTACTGCCTCGGAATTTCCACCCAAGATTATTTTTTTGCAGATGTTATTATGAATTTTCACGATAACTATTTTCAGGCAGACAAATATCCTCATTTTCAGTTATAATTTTCGCTGAACCTTTGGGCAGTTATTATTAGTGACTACCTAACAGGTCCATTTTTTTACCAGCATATTCACAGGTGAATCCTACACAGATCTTTTTGAGAAATATTTCTCTCATTTTGTTAGAAGAAGTACCCGTTCTTGTGAGAGTTAACATGTGGTACGACGGAACTCAATCTCAGTTTAGTATTATTGCTCAACCTATTTTAATCGCTGTATTGAACATGTAGGTTCAGTTTCTGAAATCAGTTTCTGAAATATTCATCGATATAAGAACAAAATATTAGTTTTCAAATTAAATCTTTATCAGTACCTGGATAAAGGGAATTTTCAACAAACTTTCGTTTGGATATATATGAACTGAATTGATTGACTGAATACTTATTTTCCAACAATAGGATTTCAATGTTAATAAAATCTATCGTACTTTGACGCGGCTAGATACATCACCAAAACGTACAGTGACATTCGAAATAACGTTTTCATTCGAATTAAAAGTGTTTTTCTACGGATGCTATACAATGTGCCACTTCTCTCATCGCTTTCATACGTTCAAAAAGAAAGATTTCTCACGCAGTGAGAAATATCCGCCATTAGAGTGAGAAATAATTTCTCCCTGTTATCACGATAACCCAAGTCAGTCATGAATTGTTACATGTCAGATTGATATGACACGTTCTCCAAGTTGACAACGCTACGCCGACGATTCGCGTGCAATATCCAAGTAGCCCATTGTCGGCGTTTCCATAACAACAAAACCGAAGCACTGCATAATTATTGCTGTCAACTTACCCAACGAAGAAAGTTTTATTGTTGATTGTTATAGTATAAACAGTTCAGATTTACTAAATATTGAATATAATGGAATACGAAGTTTTAAAGTTGGAAAATACACCTCCAGAAATTGTTCAGAAAGCAATAGATATTTGCAATAATTTGCTACCAAGCACATCAATAGAAAAATATGAAATCGCTTACAGAAACTTTATGGACTGGAAAATGAAAGCCAAGGTAGATTCTTGTTCCAAAAATACCTTGTTAAAGTTTTGGTTTCCGTTAATTTTTCAATCTCCTGATAATGCTAACTCACTTAGCGAAAACGCAAACGTGCTTGTTCTGGTGTGAAAGAAGTGTTTCAAATAGCCTCTATATGGTGGTGAACACGTGACCAATTAAATATTGAATTATATATGATTTAATTGCGAATTCACATGTGTTTCTGATACCAATTTTTTGATTGAATAGTGATTACTTACGAAAAAGTGATTAAGGAAAATATATTCGCTCTTTCCCTTGGATTGACTTTCCTTCTCTCTTTGTCACAGTGATCCATTCTTTTTATAGTCACCACATTCACAATATCATAAAATGAAGAAAAATTGTGGAAGATCCAGAGTTATATATTATCAGTCATCAACAGTTCAATTTTGAACAAGACGCATTGTGATTTTCGTGCATTCAGATGTCATTCAATATTTGTCTAACATCATCCAAAATCGTGTGGTATTTTCCATGATCAAATAATTGTTTTCAAATAATTTACTTTCACCTTATTTCATAAATATGATATAGCGATCAGGTAGTTTAAAATGAGTTATTGAGAATCCCCATTTTCATTGAACAAATAAGCACTTCAACCATCACTGTTAGACATATCTGATATAAGATTGTTTCAAAAATTCTGTCCGTTTCAATGGAATGTCGTGGTAAGTACTTAACGATACAGAATTTCGTACTCTATACATTGATGCTATTAATTTTTATTCAAATTTTCATTTTTCACCCCTTTCCAGCTCATTATTATAGGATATCATCAAGCGATTTTCGGACAAATTATTTCTACGAATTTCGAGCAGAAACGGCCCGAATTCAGAACGAGGATTCAAAGATCCTGCTAGAGACTGATTCATCACAAACGGTGCGTGGTATGTCAGAAAAACTGAGCGTTACCTCTTATGTGGTTTTTGATGGTTTAAAACGTATTAGAAAGGTCTCAAAGGTGGAAACCCACAAAAAAGGCCCTGATGACTATTGTGGTCATTGGAAATTGTAACAGAAATTGCGGCAGCAGCCGGCACTTCAACATAACAGGTCCGATCCTGCTCCACGATAACGCCCGTCCAAAATCACCGTCCGAAAATGAAACGAATTGGGCGTCGAAATTCTACCTCAAACTCCATAGGTACTAGCCAGACCTCTCGGCAACCGACTACCATCCTTTTCGACTAGCATCCTTCCAAGCACTTCGATAACTTTCTCATCGGTAGAACCTTCGTCAATCAGAACCAGGCAAAAACGGTCTTCATCGACTTCATCGAATCCCAAGTACGAATCTTTCATGCTGACGAAATTAATCGACTTGTGTTACATTGGAGAAAGTGCACTGATACGAATGTCGCTGAGATATAACAGTGTAAAAGCTATTTTCCGGTTTTTTGTCCTTGTGTTAACGGTAGACATTATCAAAGGCGATGTGGTAACGGTCGCAGTGCCCGAATTGTTGTTCTTGTTGTGACGTATTTACTACGATGCCAGTATTTGAGTCTGGTTTCATTTTCCCATCAGTGGACGTGGCTTCGTTCCCCTTTATTGGATTACATTACTTTGTTTGTGTCCCTCTCAGGACAGGCAGCCAGACTCAATTCATGTTAATTGCCTCTTCTTTCTATCGAAATTATCTTTGTGTTTTTGAATTTCTATTGCCTCTCTATATACTCCTGCATTTTTTCAAGAGCAAAACACAAGCACTACAGGAAAATCCTTAAAGCGCTCTCAGAGCGGTGCTTGTACGAAAATAGCGATTCACATCGTTTGTTGTTTTCAGCGAAGTGTGATTGTTTGCTTGAACATACTGCATCCTGTTTATCAGATAACTTTTTAGCTAATCATGTACCACTCCTCTGAAACCGTACAGTTCTAGTTTTGTTAAGAGAATTTCATTGTTGACAAGATCAAATGCCTTGCTTGAATCCAAAAAGGTGCAAACTACTATGTTACCTTTGTCTAACTCCTCCGAAAGTCTATTCACAAGCGTCACCATTGCATTTGAGGTTGATTTGCCTTTTTGGAACCCATACTGATTCGTGTTCATTAAATCAAACCTATCCATGAATTCTGTTATTCCATTGGCAACATATTTTTCAAAAACCTTAGCAAAGGGACTCAATAGCGCAATTGGTCTGAAATTTTGAAAATCTGTGAATGTTCCTGATTTGTGAATCGGAATAATTTTTGCCATTTTGAGGCATGATGGATAAATACCTCCTTCAGGAGAACAATTTAATAGATAAGTTAATGGTTGCGTCAACAGATTTGCACACTTTTTTATTAGATTTGTTGTTATATGATCATCTCCCTGTGAGTAAGAGCTCTTTAAATTCAGAATAATGTTTAAGATTTCTGATTCAGTTGCTGGAATACAGAAGAATGTTTCAGGATGTCTATTTTTCAGTGTCTTTTGAATGGGTTTGTTTGTTCGGTTGATTAAAAGGCGTGGAATATTTTGGAAATAGTTATTGCATTGATTAGAAACTATTTATGGGTCATTGGTCAAATCAACATTTATTTCAAGTGTTATATTCGTTTTTGAAAAATGGTTGTTACTTGTAGTTGGTTTAACTATTTTCCAAGCTGCTTTCGTTTTATTTTTTGACGCTTTTAATATGTAAGTATTGTAAGTAAACTTGGCTTTGTTTAGTAGAGTTGAAGCTCGCCTGTTGATATTTGTTTCCCAAAGCCATATTGCATAGTAATTTTGAGTTTTATCTATTATTAATGTATCTTCGAATGAGATAATGTGAGTGCCTTCTCGTTTTCAGAGGGACGGGTACCTACACTTCTTTTCGTGGTTCCATTGTAGACCAACCGGTATACCCTGAGTATTGCTAAAGGTTCTCTGGGATCCTTAGCTGATCTTAGACTCAGTCTGATAATTCTTGTTGGCCTAAATATTGGTTTTAATTCGTGTTTCTCTAAGATTCTCACAATCCGGTCTGTAACATTTTAACATAGGGAAGGGATGCTTGTTCCTCGATAAAACTTGAAATTACTATCCAAGGTTATATATAAAGGCAATAGAAATTCAAAAATACAGGGATAATTACGATAGAAACGAAGAGGCAATGAACATCAATGAAGTCTGGCTACTTGAGGTACACAAATCATCACACACAGATCATTCAATCCAATGAAGAAAAACCAAGTCATGCCCACTTATGAGAATATAGAACCAGAGTCAAATACTGGCATCATAGTAAATGTGTTCGTAATAACGGAAGCACCAATGCGGACACTACGACCATCATCATAACGCCTTTGGTAATGTCTACTGCAGTAGTAGACGAAACGTGCAGAACACGGACTGAAAAAACACGAAAAATAGCATTCACATAGTTATTTCCTGCCGTGAATGTTTACATTCTTTATGCAGACTCCTAAAAACGGACAAAGCTTCCAAACAACCTAATATTTGTCCCAGACTGGGAATACTAATTATGATCTAGAAGACGAAGTTCGCCCCTTACAAAAAGAATGAGATAGAGATATACTACCCATACATTATTGCGTTAATGATATAATATTCAAGTTGAGATCATGAACTTTAATACGAACATGACGAGACATATCAAAATATGTGCCTCTTTATATAGAATTCGATTTCTCTACTGAATAGTATTCCAGAGCGATTATAGTGTCCTGGAAAGGATATACTTCGTTTCGTTTCCATATACGTTTCTAATCTGTGGTAGAAGTCCATATCTCAAAGTGGAGTGCAGTAGGTTTGCGAAAAATTAAAACTCAAAGTCGTCTTCACAATTTATTATCGGATGTTAGAATGGTAAAACCATAAATTAGTACATGTTTCGAACCTATATAAGTTCATCATCAGCTAATTATTCAAAATTATGGAGAAGAAAATATTTTATAATAGAAAAAAGAAAATTGTCAATTGTTACGAATGAATAAATGGGCATAATGACATGTTGATAATAATGAAAAAAAAATTTTTTTCGATGTTTTGTAATGTTATAAACTTCCGTCGTTTACTAAATTTGAAATATATATTTTTTATCATTATTAACATGTCATTGTGACAATTCATTCATTGGTAACATGTGACCATCTTCTTTTCTCCATTATGAAATATTTTCTTCTCCATAATTTTAAATAATTAGCTGATGATAAACCTATATAGGTTCGAAACATGTACTGATTGATGGTTTTACCGTTCTGACATCTGAGGGTGATAATACATTGTGGAGACGGCTTTGAGTTTTTATTCTTCGCAAATATACGTTTCTGTACTTATTTATTATTCAGAAATCACAAAATACTAATGTAAAAGAAAGTATTTGGCTTTCTACTACTCCATCTGATACAAAAAAAAATGGATGAGAATCTTCCAAAGAAGATTGTAAACTTGGAAAAACGTTATTTTGATACAGAATATTTTGATGAGGCTTATTTTTCAATCTACTTAGAGAATTCATTTTGTTTATGCTAAAAAAAAATTGAATTTTATATCATACCGACTATTTCAAAGTTCTCATGATATTGTTTGAGCCATCAAAAATTGATGTGAAAATTAAAACGATATCAATGAATTTCCTGAATACACCATAATATCTACCATTCTAGAATGTTCTGTATATTCACTTATATAAAAAAAGTCATAAATTGCATCACAAACAATCTTGAATGGTAAAATGAAAAAAATTATTTATTTCCACTTGAACTATCCGAATGGTTCAGGGATTTCGCTTGTTCAACCAATTTATGAAAACATCCATTTTCATCTCTCTGCAGGATCGCTGGTTCTCCAAATTCAATAATTCCACCGCCATCTAGAACCATCACCTCATCAAATTCCAAAAAAGGTTGCACTTTGTGAGAAATCATCAATATTGTACAATCTTGAAAATTTTCATTTATGATATTTTGCACAATGACCTGCGTCTCGTAGTCCAGATATTCTAGTGGCTCGTCCATAATAATAATTTTTTTCTTTCTGAGGAGAACTCTGGCTAAGGAGATGAGTTGTTTCTGACCAGAACTGAAGTTCAACTCACTCGTGATTTTCAGATCCAACTTTGAAACGAAATCTTTCATTTTTACTTTCTCAAGAGCTCCTGCCAGATCTATGTCAACGAATTCACCATATGGGTCAATATTAGAGCGAACTGTTCCAGAAAATATCAGTGGATCATGTGGTATTACAGCCAGATTTTCCCTGAGAAATTTCAAGGGGAGCTTTTTTATATCAACTCCATCAATACATATTTTTCCCTGATAATCGTACAATCGGAACAATAATGAAATAATCGAAGATTTTCCTGCTCCTGTTCTTCCCATCACTCCAAGCTTCTGTTTCGGTTCTGTTTTGAAAGATATATCTTTCAGAATAGTTTCTTTGTTGTAGGAAAGTGAAACATTTTCAAACGTCACATTTCCCTCCACTGGCCAGTTATTTTGTACTTCCCCCTCACACTTCTCCAAAGGAACTTCTGTGTACTCCAGGATCCTCTCTACAGACGTCATAGAGTTTTCTAATACTGACAATTTTCGAATTGCGTACTGAATGGTACTTCCAAGCATTGAAGCTTGCGTCAATGCAAGACCCACGTTACCAGAACTGGCACCTATAAAAAATTATGAAATGAAATACTTGTTAGATGAAATATAAAGAAATATTTTGCAAAATCTGATTAAAGTAACTTTCTGCAACACCTTAAATATAAATTGATCAAGACACTGAGAAGTAGAGTGTAGGTATCAACTCGACGTGAAGACCCATAAAATGATACATCTCCATAGGAGTTTGGATTCCAAATCATCCGTTCCACGGTCATACTTCCCTCGTCCACATGAAGGCTGTGGACTTTTGAGTTTGGAATATCTACGTCACAGAATGGTACTGGATGAAGCCTGTAAAGTCATCAAGAGTTCGGTCTCTCTTGGTCCGCGACCATGAGAGAGCAGGAGTTTTAGAGTATTTATCTTTGTGACAGCTGCCCGAGCGGCTAATGAACTCGGTTTAGTTTTCGACACTGAACGAGGTTTTCACAACCGAGTTGGAACCCGTCCAGCGGAAGGTCCATATAAAAACCGCAGAGATCACTTCACCCCTGCGGCAACATAAAGATGAGGTCTTCTTTAGCAACATTGAAGACTTCAACTCTTCAAAGCTTCGCTTCGCTTTCCTCAGGTCGAGTGGGGAAAAGTGGGAAACCGAGGAGTTCATCATGGGCTATCAGACTGTTTTTTTCAACACCGCAGTCGCGTAACGGGTATACAGGTTCCAGGCACACAGTGCATGGCTTGCCGCGAGGCACCTGGAACACCAATGCACTTGCGGTCAACATGTACAGCAAATGCGGTCCCAGACTATTTTCTTTGACATAATGTAGCCCTCAGAGTGATTTACTAGCTTCAACGGAACTTTTACGGTATTGACGAGGCACCGGTGTTGCCCTACGCTCCACGGGATATTGAATCCGTTGTGGGGAACGAGAAGTGCTGCATTTATAGAAACAATTCGTTTCCCACCCTCAGGCTCATACAAGCTAATATGCCTGATAATGTTGATTCATAATAATGTTCATTCATTTATATAGATTCGGAATAAATACAATAAATTTCACAAATCTCAATGACTTGAATGAACTCAGGTAACCCACAGAAGCATTAGCAAGAACAGTAGTACTGGTATGTGTGAGTAGTTCAAGCATGTTTCGAGAGATAAAGTAATTACGAATCGATAAAAACAGACGGTTTTTTTCTAGTTAGATGTGACAAAATACTACTGAATAACATGAAATACCTTTAAGGCTGGAGAATAAAACAAATGAACATATCCATAAATACATAAACTAAACTATAACATTCATGCATGATACCTACTTAATATGATTTATGAATTGAAGCCTTATATTGAATCATTGATTGAAAAAAATGAAATTCGGCTTAGCAAGTACATAAAATGTACTAGGATGATAGTAATCGGGAAATGAGAAACTAAGAATGAGGTAAGCAATGTTTTAATCATTTGGATTCGAGGACAGATAAAAGCCCAGGATTTCACATATTTCTTCTCGAAATAAGATTTCGAAAAAAATTATGCTTCTTTCCATGTATAATTTTTAATACGCTCTTATGGAGCGTTTCGAAGTTATATAGAAAGGTTTTTCCAACACCACTCCACCCGATGATGCCATAACACAGATGTGACTGCATAAGTGAGCAATACAATAAAGCAAGATGTTTCAACCCTTCATATTCCTTGAGGTAATTTATTTTGGTAAAGCCATTGTGACTTTTTCATAACATTATCTTTTTGGAGAGTCCATTTGAGGTGTCTATCGACTATAATGGCAAGGTATTTTATACTGTCCGCTACTATTCTCCATATTGGTAGTATCAATATTTTCACCTATTTTTGAAGAGAAAAAGTTAGGTTAGTTACACTGACAGGAGATGTTTCGTTTTGTTAGCACTCACTGTTAGCAGCTTTTGGTCAAACCATTTTTTATTCATTTGAAATCATCTTTAGCAACTACTTTGACATCATCTTATGAGTGTGAGGATGACTTGAATGAACTCAGGTAACCCACAGAAGCATTAGCAAGAACAGTAGTACTGGTATGTGTGAGTAGTTCAAGCATGTTTCGAGAGATAAAGTAATTACGAATCGATAAAAACAGACGGTTTTTTTCTAGTTAGATGTGACAAAATACTACTGAATAACATGAAATACCTTTAATAGGGTTGGAGAAAAAACAAATGAACATATCCATAAATACATAAAGTAAACTATAACATTCATGCATGATACCTACTTAATATGATTTATGAATTGAAGCCTTATATTGAATCATTGATTGAAAAAAATGAAATTCGGCTTAGCAAGTACATAAAATGTACTAGGATGATAGTAATCGGGAAATGAGAAACTAAGAATGAGGTAAGCAATGTTTTAATCATTTGGATTCGAGGACAGATAAAAGCCCAGGATTTCACATATTTCTTCTCGAAATAAGATTTCGAAAAAAATTATGCTTCTTTCCATGTATAATTTTTAATACGCTCTTATGGAGCGTTTCGAAGTTATATAGAAAGGTTTTTCCAACACCACTCCACCCGATGATGCCATAACACAGATGTGACTGCATAAGTGAGCAATACAATAAAGCAAGATGTTTCAACCCTTCATATTCCTTGAGGTAATTTATTTTGGTAAAGCCATTGTGACTTTTTCATAACATTATCTTTTTGGAGAGTCCATTTGAGGTGTCTATCGACTATAATGGCAAGGTATTTTATACTGTCCGCTACTATTCTCCATATTGGTAGTATCAATATTTTCACCTATTTTTGAAGAGAAAAAGTTAGGTTAGTTACACTGACAGGAGATGTTTCGTTTTGTTAGCACTCACTGTTAGCAGCTTTTGGTCAAACCATTTTTTATTCATTTGAAATCATCTTTAGCAACTACTTTGACATCATCTTATGAGTGTGAGGTGAAGCTGACCATAGTACGCCTGGTGATAATTTCAAAAATATCATTCAGGTTGGAAAGGATTGGCCTCGGTACGATACCCTGTGGGACACCAAATTCCATAATAGTTGGTTTATTGGTAACGTTGTCTATTTCTACGTATTGCGTTCTTTCCTCAAGATAGCTCTTAATAAGGTCGAATGACTTCCTCTGCAATCCCATTTTTTACAGCAATTTAGAATGACTAATTGTGTAGAGAGCTTTCTCTAAGTCTTTGGCTGATTATTGTCTAGTTACCGATACATATTATCAATCACATGAGCTACAGCGACCTGAGTTGAATTTCCACTAATGACACCAAATTAACTACTCACGTGTATATTATTTTTTACAAAGTAGATATCTTCTTTAATATCTTTTATGCTATTGGTTTGAAGAGATCATACATTGAACTAGCCATTGTTTTAGTGCATCTACGACTGTGATAGGAAAAAAGAAAAGCGTTTTATTTTGTGCTTTCGTTTTTCCATCGTGATGTTGAAGCTGCGTGGTTTTTCAGCCAGTTTGATGCCAACGGCAGAAACTGAAGAAAGGTATCCGCGATCGTTTCTTCAGTACTTTTTTTACCATCTTCAATAAAGTTTTCAACAGTTTCCCAGAGGATTTCATTACATAAGCTACTTTTTTCTATGATATATTGGTAGTGATTGGTTTTTGCTTTTTTCACTAATAAATTCAATTCATTTCTATATATTCGAAATTCTGTTTTTTGTTCTGTTTTCTGGGTCTGTTTTGTTTTCTTAAAAGTCTATTTCTTACGAGTCCCTGCGTTATCCATTCCTTTTTTTAAATTCTTTGTTGAACCTATTTTTTTTTGTATTTTCATTCATTTTTTCAACTCACCTACATATGAGTAAATTAGTAGCTTCACCTGCATTATCGGCTATGTAAATGTCTTGCCAATCTTCTTTGTTCAATTTTTTTTGCAATAAATCATTTTCAGTGATTCAAGTTTGTTGATGGCACTTTGTAACTTTGTGCTTATTTGATACTATTATTGAATGATGATCAGTTATATTCAAACAAACCACCTTCAAATAAATAGTCTACATTTAACTACTTCTGTCTATGAATTGAGCTTGGGCAGATAGAGAATGATGATATGATCCATGGCATCGAAGCTAGTTCCAAATTATGATTGCAGTGATCAGTTACTTGATACAAATTGATAACACTATCCATGATAATAGTAATAATAGAAGTTTCACAGTAATTTTCATTCAAGATGCGTTTCGCTACACGATATTTTCGTCAGTTGGGCGGGTGAAGCTTGCGAGGGTATCGGTTTTGATAATGGTTGAATAAACGCTTTCGACAGTTGTTCTTACTAGGTAGGTAGCGAGCGGGGCAGGCACGAAGGATATGCTCTGCTGTTCCATCATTTTCCAGACAGAGGCGACACACACTGTCTTCCGACAGTCCAAGTCTCTTCATATGATGATTCAAATGACAATAACCTGTAAGAAGGCCTGTTAGACATCGTAGTTCATCCCTACTATAGTCCAACAACTGTTTGGTATCAAGCTTCGAAGGGTGAATAAACGCCTTGAAGTGAGCCAGTCCTGAAAAATTCTGCCAGAAGTTCATGAATCTTCATTCAGGTGTTCAATTTTTATTTGGCAAAGCCTAAACCGATGACAATGATAGGTGCTGGTCCGATGAAGCTGCTTGCAGCACTCTCCCTGACCATACTGGCTTTCCAGGCCAGTATGGCCAGGAATCCAGACCAGAGACAATCTGTCAAGTCTTTCTATCGAGGAGAGTCGTTTTGGGCAGTTTGCTACCAATTTAGACGTTGCTCGGTAGGAGCCAAGAGCTTCCAACGCCGCTTGATTGTCCGAGAATATTTTTATTGACTTGTGTGTGAGGTTGGATTTAACCAATCTCTCCGAACACAATTCAATAGCGTAAATTTCTGCTTGAAATACAGTCGCATAAGTTCCTAGGAAGGTAGATAGCTCTGTCCTGGGTCTGCAACTGAAAACAGGTGCCCCAGAACCAGGTGTTTTTGATCCATCTGTGAACCAACAACTATATGCTCTTAATATTTCCTTCTCCCGGAGGATCCAGTCCACTCTACTCGGGAATAGTACTTTATAAGGCAGTTCGTAGTCGACAATTGGAGGCATAAAGTCAGAGGTCATTTCCAAAATGCTGTGACTTCCATTATCAACCAACAGTCTGTTCTTACTAACCAAGGAACGACAACGATCGGAAAATGATTCAATGAAGTATTTTACTGGATATCTTACCTGTGTCTATGAAGAGAAAATGGATAACCACAACTATAATCAGAACGCAACTGGCTAAATCCATGAAGAAGGTGAATGCGCTCATTGCGCAAATTGATGTGTATAAGGCTGAGGTATATAGATTTTGATGACGATCAAACTCGTTCTTGAGAATATCTTCTGCCTTCGAAGCTCTGATAGTTTTCAAGCCTTCCAAACAAGCATTCAGATGGCCAACCATAGGACTTCGAGCTAGAAAACAAAATATTCGTTATTCAACCTGAATATTTCCAAAATTGAAGCTCGAGATGTATAACTGAAGGTAAACAGGGCTACAAATTACTGTTACACGATACTCGTGGTTCCATTTCTGCTCTCCCCATCTTTGAATGGCAGTTCATCATGTACGATATACTACCATCTCTGAGAGATTCCATCAAGTAAAATATCATTACGAAACTTCAGATCATCCCAAGAGCACATTTTATGTTTCATTGAAGATGAACCACGAATATATCCGAAACGGGTGGATTTAGGGGATGATTTCCATTTCATTAATTCGAACTTCCATCGTCTAATATAATATAAATTTATTTGAAATCCCTGAAAGAATCTGTAAAAATTTAAAAAGTTTAGCTGAAAAATAACAATTATATCAAGCATAGAACTGAAATTACAACCAAGCAACATACCAAGCAACATACCAAGTAACAACCGAACAAAAAAAATTGAACTATTAAGACGAGCTGATAATTGAAAAATTATTAACAAGAAATGAAAATCAAAAGATTCCAAACCAAGTGACTTCACGACTTCGGGTGACAACTGGACTTATTCCTCCAAGATCTGACTATTTATAGGTCATTAGAGTGCTTTCACCTATCCCCTCTCTCCTCTTCATCGCTTTCAGCGGGAGCTGACCGTTTGGCGGAAGTTGGTCGTATTCCGCTTGATTAGAGGTTTCCATGTGTTACGTATCTACATGCTGGCTTGACTGAATGCGTTGTTGGACAACATTTATGCGACTTCTTTGAATTTTCTCCTGAACCAGTGTTCCTCCTTGTGAATAATTTCAGCTTGAGCCCACTTGATATTATGTTGATGAGTCCAAACATGCTCTGCTATTCCGAATTTGCTGATTTCTCCTCGCTGTGTGTGTTTCTTGTTCTCGTCAATACGTGATTTCGATGGCCTCTTAGTTTCACCGATGTATGATTCTCCACACTCGCAGTGTATTCGGTAAATGCAATTCTTGGAATCGCAATCCTCGTTTTGTGGCCTGTTTTCGTGAGGCTGCTACGGATAGTGTTCCCAGATCTGAAGCAGGTTTTGATGTTATACTTAGACCCAATCCTTCCTATCCTTTCCGACAATCTTCTAATATAGGGAAGTGCAAGTACTGATTGTGACAGCTTCTCTTCCTTGTGGGAGCTTTTGCTGTCTTTGCTGTCTTTGGAGTATTTTTCAGCTAATCTTTTTAGTTTTCCACAGATTCTTTCAGGGATTTCAAATCAATTTATATCATATTAGACAATTGAAGTCCGAATTAATGAAATGCACTACGAAACATTGTCAACCACCTTCAAACAAAAGATGATATTCCATTTTGTAATTGGTTGAATTCATTTGATATCTAAAATATTTTGTACCTATGTGAGTTTATTTTTTGTACATTTGTGTCAATCATATTTCAACTTTCTCATAGCAACCTTCGTTGCTAACAATTGATAATTGTTAACAATTGACAGCACAAAATATAGTGGTGTATTTTTACCAAGAACACTTATAAATTAATTATTGCTGGTCTTTCGACCGGATCTGATTAGATATATCTTTTTTCAGATAAGACAAATTGTACAATCACACCAGCTTGAAATTCGAAAATAACATAAACGATTATCTAAAGAGAGAGCCCAGCTCTTTCTTTGATTATTCAAAAGGCAACATACCATTTGCAATATAACATTTGGAGGTCTTATCGTAATATTTCAAATCATGGACCTATGTCATTGTATTTGCAAAAATATAATTTATTGATAAACAATTTCATTTGAAGAAATATGGAAATTTCGTCTTCAGCTAGGTCACATTCGTCTCATCTCATCTACCAACTGATGAGTCATGTCCTGTAGGTAAATAAAAGACTCAAAGTTTGAAGCACAATCTAAATGACTGCATATCATAGGAGAAAAATTGTGATGGTAACAATTTGATGAAAAAATAGAAAACACTAAATGGCTTTTTCGAATTCTCTTCTTTGGTACCAACAACAACCAGATGTTTGTACCACCAATAGATAATGATAACCCGTAGCATGTCTCTAGGAACCCTTCTTTCTGTTCGAAGACAAATATCTGCTCTTCTTGAGTTGGTTAATCTTAGATGAATTGATGTTTATTTCAACTGCGATATTGTTATATTTTTCAAATCATTTCATAATAATTTTTTTAATGTCATGCCATGATAACGTTCACATGGCATCTTTTAGTAGTTTTTCCAACAGCCGATGTTGATAAAACCAACGTTGATGCCTTTGTGAATTGTGTAAATGTTACGGTTAAAGTATTCACTTGGCTATTATATAAACTAGTTAGATAGTATAAAAACTATCCAACTGCCTGGTTATTTTGATGAAAAATCATATTTTCACTAAAATAGCTACGAGTAATGGCTGGTTTGTATACTATCCAGCTAGTTTATAATATAAACTATACAAAATTTATCGCTAACACACAAACCACAAGGAAATTACACAAATTAGCTAGCATTTTTGGCTAGTTTGTAAACTATCCACATTAGTTAGATAAAGTGTGGACCTGATATTGGTAGTAATACATAATAACCAACGAGTTAGTTAGTATGTAAACCAACCAACGCGAGTTGGTTATCATGTAAACCAACCAATTCTCTTTGGGTAATTTAGTGGGGTTGTGTTTCAAGTTTTGTGTGTTGTGACGGTGTACAGTTGTGTCTCGTGAAATTTGTTTAAGAATAGGTATCGGGTTATTAAAAATGAACCAACAGCAACAGTTTGAAAACCTATTATTAGAAGTTCACGACCAAAAGTCGCGAAAATCAAAATTGATGAATTATTGCGAATATAGTAAACTTTTGTAACGCATCAAGAGAATACGTGAAACTGGACCTGACAGTAGTAAGAGTGATTATCATGTGATAAATATTTATGATTCACAAAGAATCGAATCATCTTATGTAATTCCACATAGAAGATCTGGAAATATTATTTTACGTTTGAGTGAATGTTATGATGCGATTAAAGCTGCCCATCAGGAAACTGGGCATGAAGGGCGTCAAGCAACAACAAAATTATTAAACAAAAAGTATTACAACTAAACACAGGAAATGGTAAAATTGTTCATTGAAACTTGTGAATGATGTCAGCCTTAACGGAACAAAACTAAAAAGGGAATTGTTGTTAAACCAATTGTTTCAAATCATTTAAACTCTCGATGCCAAATAATAATAATAATAATATTTATTTGTAGTTCCATATAAATACGATAAATATACAATCTATAAAAATGATAAAAAAAAAACTACAAATAAAGCTAGAAACAACATGTACCGAAAGGGTACTGTTGATCTAGGAAATGATTGAAAAGTTCGACCGTGGTGCTTCAAAAGACGTGTATAAAATCGTGACAGGTGACGAATCATGAGTATATGGAAACAAAACAGTAATCGACTATGTATGTGAGTTCCGTAGTGGCCGTGGTAGTAGACAGACGTGCTGATAACGTCCGCCCACAAAGAAGGTACGCGGATACCATGTGCTATCGTGGGGCTCCGTTTTGTGTTGTGCTAGTCCATTGTGTTAAATACGGAAATGTTAGAGTGTCTTTAAAAAAAGTGATGAATAAAGGGCCCTGTTTATTCACGCCGGTATCCAGGCCGGGGTGGTTCGGATAACCACGTAAAGGGGGCTGTATATGTGAAAAAATAAACCAAAAGGTCTCCCAAGCAGGAGGCGACTTCATAAAAACTAAATTGTTTGTATTATTCAAAGAATTGTTTTTATAATAAAAAAGAAAATTCGAAAAACTAATGAGTGGCAGCATTGCTTCGTGTAAGACCGCTGCGCCTCCCAACGAAGCTCCTGTTAACCAACAGGAGGAGCATTGGTCATATGCGCCTGAAGATAGGAAGCAACGACCATCCAAAATAGAGAGAGAGAGGTACTATGTAAGTATTCCAAGACGAGCTAAATCCAACAGAAGTTGTTCGTGAAAGAAGCACAGAGGAGCAAATGGTTCTCTGTTTCTTCGGCCCAATGGGTCATGTGGTCACTGTTCCGCTTGAGCAACATAAAACGGTCAATTCTGAGTGGTACACGACCATTTGTTTGCCGTAAGTCTTCAGAGAAATTCGTTAAAACTAACCGCCAAAGACGAATCATTCTCCATCATGTCAATGCGAGCTCGCACACATGTCATCAAACAGGTGAATTTTTGAACAGTCAAAACATCGAATTGGCACACAATGACTTCTTCTTGTTCCCGAATATTGAAGGTAAACTGCGTGATCAACGATTTCGAGCGCCGAACAAGCAGTTGAAGCGGTCAAAAGCCATGTTTTGGAGGTGTCTCAAGAGGAATGGAAGAACTGCTTTGACAAGGAGTTTGAACAAATGCAAAAGTGTATTGATCATCAAGGAAAATATATTGAGGAACAATAAAGCCATTTTCATTAAAAAATGTTTGTTATTATTTGCTATACCCGAAATTTATTTATCTATACACTGTTCTACAGGTTACACCTGTAATAATGCATCATGGGGAAATACAAAAAATGGTGGATAGATATTATCTGATCTGTAGGAGAGAAGTGTTAGAAAACGACGTTGTACTGATTCGACTTTCTCTGTATACAACTGATGAGATGGATTCCAGATTATGGATGCATATTCTAATTTTGACCTGACGAAAGCATAGTTTAATGTTTTCGATGTAGATGGATCCAAGAAATCTCTGGAGATTCGTGCAATAAATCGATACACTCTGTTTGCAGCAGACAGTATGGCTTCAATGTGTGGTACGAAGGAAAGTTTTGTGTCGAAGGTAACACCTAGATCGGTGAATGTGAGAAGCCGTTGAAGTGGAATATCGTTTATTAAATATTGATATGAAAATGGACGATTGTTTAGTGTGTACGTCATTACATTACATTTACACGCGTTTAAAGGAAAAGTATTGCGAAAACATCATTGCTCAACACGTTTCAAATTGACGGAGAGTTGAAGACAGTCCTTGATGCCATTGATCCCACAATATAATTTCAGGTCATCCGCGTATATCAAACAGTTGATGTCAATGACCTGAACTATTTCGTTTATGAAGACCTTAAAGAGAAGTGGACCTAGGTTGTGGAACACCCGAGGTAGCTGCATATTCCACGGACTTGAAGCCATTGAATATTAAAGTTTGAGAAAAATTCAGCAAAGCTTTCAAGAATATCTAAAGGAGTATCTAAAAATTGTCCTCCGTAGGACATTTTGTCCGTAATAATGATAGAACCTATTTTTGTTATTTATAAATGCCCAGAATTTATTTGTATTGTCTTTGATGTCATGTTCAGCGGATTTGACGATTTTTTTTACACGTTGTCCACGTCCGAATTTATCTTTATATAAATAATACCCCTCTATACTCAATCAATTGAGCTGAAATTTTCCATAAACGCATTTTTGCACATCCATTGTGGTGGACTGCCTAAGATAGTGAACTATTTTTTATAGGAATGAAAGATATGGAAAAATTGTTTTCAAAAATGTTTTTTTACTATTATCAATTTATTATTGCTGCATTATTCTTCATTCTTCAAATTCAATATATTCCGACTAACCCTGTATGCTATTTGATTCAAAGCCATTCTAAGTGCATTACAGAAAGTTATCAAAACTTCCATTTAATGGACCACTCTGTATACCATAATTTCTTAAGGAGATTTTACGTTTGATTTTTGGGGTTATTTTTTGATTTGAGCAAAGCTTTTGACCTCGTTGACCATGACATACTGCTACACAAATTGCAGTTTTATGGTATACGTGGTCCTGCATTGAATTGGGTTAGATCTTACCTAACTGGCCGTAGTCAGCTGGTCTGTGTGAATGGAATTAACTCTGTAAAAATGTATAGTAAGAGGGGTATCTCAAGGCTCTGTTTTAGGACCTCTTTCATTTTTGGTTTTTATTAACGATCTTCCGAAATTTTGTTCGAAAGCTTCCATTATTATAATTTTTGCGGATGACACTAATATCTTGGTATCTGCGGAAACTATGTCCGAAGTAATTGTCAATGCTAATGAAGTAACTGATCAAATTGAGGAGTGGTGTTCTACAAATGGTCTGCTGCTAAATTCTGCCAAATCTCAAATGCTCAACTTTGTTACTAAAAATATAACTATTGATAAAAGCTATTTGGTAAGATTAAATAATGAAACTTTACATCAAGTTAATTGTACTAAATTCTTGGGTGTTGATATTGATAATAAACTTACCTGGAGTTTCCATGTTGATAGTGTCAAACTGAAGCTCAGTAAACATATATATTTACTTCGTAGGTTGAAACAAACAATCTCTTTTGATGTTCTCATGCTTTTATACCACAGTTTAATTCAGTCAGTGATTTCCTATGGTCTTGAACAGTGGGGCTTATCAACTAAAGCTGATGAAGTGTTTGTTATTCAGAAAAAGGTAATCAGAATTCTGGCTGGGGCATCTTCAAGTGCAAACTGCAGGCCATTATTCATTCGTTATAGTGTATTAACAATGCCTAGTTTGTATATCTACCAAACTCTGATATATATATATAAGAAAAAATATTTCAATTATTTCTAGAAATGAGCAAATCCATGAACATTTCACCAGAAATAACCTTCAACTTTATCAGCCTTATAGTAGATTGACAGTATCGAAGAATCACCCCATGTGCTGTGGGATTAAACTATATAATAAGCTTAGTAATGACATTAAGTCCTCAAACATCAATGTCTTTAAAAGGAAGCTTAAGGTTTTTCTATTGCAAAAAGCATACTACTCTGTGGATGAGTTTCTCCTTGAGTCATAATCTAAATTTGATTGTAGCTTAGTGATTTTATTTTTATTTAAGTTATGCTTTGTATTTGTTTTTCTATAATAGTTTGACCTGTTGTATCAGCCAGTATTTTATGATGATGTTTGCCTAATGTGATTGTAAATGAACACTGATTCAATAAATGTTCGATTGATTGATTGATTGATTGTTAACACTCAATAACTCACTTGATGCTTCCAGCCTCTTCAAACTCCGCCCAGAAGGAATATACACTTTCCCTAGCATAAGAAGCACAATGAATGCGATGGAAATATACCCTAGGAAATATTTATCAACAGTTAGTACCAGACTTATCTGACCTATGATTGAAAACATGTCCTAAAACGGAAAAATGTGTATATTATTTTCATCCTTCAAGTTTCTCAACGCACCTCCAGTAATTCCCGGAAAATGAAAGGAAAGTTTTCATCTAGTTGTGCCAAATCCTCTGAAAATCTGTTCAATATATTACCAATATAACAAGAATCGAAGAAGGAAGGAAATGTTCTCATAATGCTGCGAACCAGAACTTGGTGAATTTTAATGGATGCTCGTCTACAAAAATCGAAATTCACGTACGTAGTTATCAGTACCAGGACAGTAGCTGTGAAAAGTAGAATAGAATATAGTCTCAAAGTGTGATTCTCTTGTGCTTCAGCTTGTACTAATGTCTGATTGATAGTGATATTCTCGGTGGAAAAATTTGAAAACTGGTTTCTCAACGTCAAAATTTTCTGTTTATCGTCCACCCTGAAAAAATAATCCAATAAAATCAGTTACTTTCCATGCATCTATATTGATAGTTTGATTATCAAAAACCAACAGCAATTAAAACCTATCTGGACTCACCACATGGTCAGAAACTTATCAGCGAAACTTCCAGAAATCTGTGTAAGTCCTCCTAACGCTAAATTCATCAGAAGTAAGATATATCCTCCTCCAAAAATAACATACTTGTGGTATACATCGATCAATACCTTCCCCTCTTTTTTCTCTTCCCTATAAATTAGATTTTTTCTTGAGTCATCTATTTCTATCAATAATGCAGTTTCATCTAATTCGTCCTCAATACTTTCATCACTTGCTATTTTCTTTACATTTTGTTCCTCATAACGAACTTCTTCATCTTGTGACGCTTTTCTATTAAATCTTTTAATTTCCTTTATTTTTCCTTCGTCCATAATAATAACAGTATCTGCTTTGTTGACATGAGCCATATTTTGGCTGACAAGGATACATATTTTATCCTTCAGAAAAGTTTTGATACATTTGTTGAAGACATAATCTTGGACACAAGAATCTAAAGAACTCAAAGAATCATCCAGTAGATAAATATTACTATCGTTATAAATTGCTCTGGCCAAATTTATTCTGGTTCTTTGTCCCTTACTCAAATTTGCTCCATTATCAGTTAAAATAGTTTCATCTGATTTATCCAGAAGATCAAAGTCATACTGTAGAGCACATGTTTGGATTACTCGTCGATATCTGTTAAAAAAATACCAGAATTATCTCTATTCAAAATTGTATTGGAACTGAAATGTTGTCCATCTGAACAATTTCTCTCTGTCTCCTTGATTATGTTACAAACCAAAAAGAATCTGAAACTTCAGTAAGGTAAAACAATGCCAAAGAAACGAAATGTCATAATGAATCATAAGTGATCTGAATTGCCAACAGTTGCTTGAAATTACTGTATTCATATTAAGTTTCATTATTCATTCATTCACTCATTCATTCATTAAATTTTTTTGTCACTGTTTACCAACTTTTGGAATGAAAAATTTAGTCAACTTCTTAATATAATGCATAATATGATTGTAATACGAATATTTCTATGTTCAGCAATAAACACTATGAATCTATCATTATTCTTACCGGTTCTCATCAATTTTTTTTCCAAACAAAATATTTTGCCTGATCGTAGAGGGAAACAACCATGGATCTTGTGATGCATAAGAAATACTACCACGTATGTGGACTTTCCCTGAACTCAACAGGTTCTTTTCCAGGATAGTATTTAAAAGAGTACTCTTGCCAGATCCAATCTTCCCAGTAACTATTGTTAATCCTGCACCGACCTCAAAGGAAATGTCTTTCAATATTTCCAGTCCTCCTACATGAACTGTAACTCTCTTCAGTTCCACAATTGGATTGTCAACATGAAAACATGAACTGCAATGCGACTCGTCTGCAGACAGTACCTTGTTTATTCTAGATGCTGCAGAAACCATTTCTGCAGCCCTTCCTATATTCCGAGGTAGATCAACACCAATAGTTCTCTTCAATTCTTTGAAATTAGTGACGAGGTAAAACACAATTGATGTATCTGCTGAGGAACCCATCCAGATATAGGCTATTATCAGAAAAATAATAAAGAAATATCACAATGCTTGTATAACAGAACAATGTACACAATAACAAATGAATACAATCAAACATCAAACGACTAATGTTAAATATGAGATAATCAAATGGTCTAGGAGCAAGGTACAAATTTGGTCAATTATTTCATTTCGAGTGAAACTTCGTAAAATGCATTCGGGATTTGAATTAGTTAATAATGAAAAAATCAACTAGCTGTTAGTCGAAGTAGTCGTCTGCTGATAAGATTCAGTAAGTGATAGATGCTGCTGCGGTTCACCTTTCAAGGTACCATCTGACAAACTTTGCACTGAGATGTAGCAAGCTGACATTAATTTTCTTTGACAGTAGCATATGAAGAAATCATTGAAAAATTTTTTTCTTCATGTTCAAGCAGATAGCAAAAATGTTAATCCACCATGTTATAATCGGCTGACTTTGTTTTTAAAATATGTTTAAATTATGTTCAAATATGTTCAAAATATGTTTTTTCCGTTAACCAGCTATCGCACCCCTACGAACGATAACCCTCAGAAGTCGAAACTTGTGCAAGCCATGGACTAACGAGGTCTTACCTTTAAACGTGTGATTCCTAACACGGGTTGGACGATAGCAAGTGAAAATCGAGCGTTCAGTCTGGGGCTTGAACCATCGACTCACACATCGGCCGATTGACTGAATGAACAAAGCACCCACGTTGAACCGCCCGGCTACCTACCTACCGACAATCAAGACATTGAATAAACTGAAATCCGAAAAATTTTAAAATAGGAGGAAATGACAGAAACCTTTTTTTTTTCATGCGTCGGAGGCTGCCACTGGCCGCCCCACCCACGGAGTCGCAGCTGACGGACGCGAATATTCATAATATAAATACCTAATGCATTTTACGAAGTTTCGAGTGGAAGGGAATTGTCACTGGCTCCCACTCTGAAAGGTGAAGTTCAGATTGAAAATTATTGGAATGTCAGCGGCCAGAGAATAGAGTTTCATTAGTATTGTCACGACGTGGTCCTTGTATATCCCACTGGTACTGACACTGGCAAGTCTGACAATGTATTCTGACATCACATTGCTACGCATATGCGTAGCAATATTTGCTACGTAAAAATACCCGAATGCGAATGAATGTCGAATAGTCTCGAGAAATTATTGAACATACGAGAGTGTTCGAATAGGATGCAATGGAACTCGTCAGCCGCCAATATCTTATTTATTCTAGCCCCGCTGGATACGGGAATGACAGAATCACTTCTGGTTCGGTTATTTCCTAACTGAATGGCATCCCAACGATGGCTTAATCCTAAGGTGTGTGTATCCGTACCGAGAGAATGAATGACACTGAGCCTATCAGCTGTCTCTACGGAACCTTCAAAATACCGGGCGCCCTCTTGTTATAGCATCGCCTTGTCATGGTAATGCGTGGCTCTGCCGTGATTGACCTTCTTTTTCTAGCTACTCGTGGGACTTTTATGGACAGAGTAAACTCAAAAATTATTTCTGACGCTGAATTCATAGAAGAGATGGATGTCGAGTTTACGGCTCCAACTGACCTTCCAGTAAATTTAATTCTGGAGCGAGTCTACAGAGGAGATGGATGTCGAGTTTACGACTCCAACTGACCTCCCTGTAAATTCAGTTCAGGAGCGAGTCTACAGAGGAGATGGAATGAGAATCTTGCACCTTGACAATCCGACTACCTCATTAACGATGGAAAAGCAGATCATGTACTTTGTGCCTGCCCCGCTGGGGACCGAATCAGGTTTTCATAGAGTTCGGCAGAGCCGTACTCTTACCATCTGACCTGAAATACCATACAAACTAATCGGCTATGTTAAATAGCTGGGTTTATTTGCTCGAGTGTGAATAGGTGTGAGCCACAATAAACCCTTTCGGGCTGCAGTGGAGGCTCGAATAGGCCCACTCACTTTGGACCTAAGCTAACCTAACCTATTGACAAATAAAACATTTTTCTTTGTGAAAAATACTATGAATTTACACAGTATCATCAAAAACCTACCCATAAGATTCATTTTGATCATCAATAGCTTTTTCAAGTAGAATTTTATAGCGAAACACGTGTGGTTTGTAAACCTCTCATTGTGAAAATTGAAATGAATCTTATCAGTAAGTTTACTTCATGAAATATTTATATCACCAAATGCAAAATATGAATAATTTGTTTATTATCAAACAACTCGACTCAACTCAAATATTCGACCTATAATCCGACCTTGACCACCAATATCTATACTTATAAATGTGAAAGTGACCTAACACTCATTCATCTCTTGTTTCTCCGTACGGGTGAGTCCTAGGAAATTAAAATTTGATCTATAGGCGCTTCTTAGATCTTAGAAGCGCATTAAGAAACGATTTTTGAATATTCCAACTAGAGCGTCCCCTCTAGCGATAAAAGGGGCGCGTTCACATATGAAAATTACCTATTCATCACTGTTTCTCCGTAGCGCTATATTTTCGGAGGTTGAAATTCTGTATGTGAATTCGTTTCATGATTTTGATGTGCAATAAGAAAAGATTTTTGAATATTCCAACTGGGGAGTCCTTCCTGGAGATAAAAGGGAAGGGTTAGATATTGAAATAACCTTTTCATCACTCTTTCTCTCTACCTAACGCTATATTTTTGGAGGCTGAAATTTTGTATGTAGGTTTGTTTTATGTTGTAGATGTGGAATAAAAATACTTTCTGAATATTTCAACTGAGAATCCCTCCTTGGGGATAAGAGAAAGGACTTTATGAAAATCAATTTTGATCACTGTTTTTCCGTACCGCTATATTTTCGGAGGCTGAAATTATTCATTTCATAATGTAAATGTGCAATGAAAAAGGATTTTTGAATATTTCCTGGGGAGTACTTCCTGGGGAAGAACTCCCTAGTTGAAATATTCATATGAAAATTACTTTTTTCATCACTGTTTCTCCGTATCGCTATATTTTCGAAGGCTGAACTTTTGTATGTGGGATCGTTTTAAGTTGTAGATGTGCACTAAGAAAGGATTTTTGGATATTGCAACTGGGACGCCAGTCGCGAGGGAAGAAGGAGCGTTCATAAAACAAAGTTACTTTTTCATCACTGTTTTTCCATACCGGTATATTTTCGGAGGTGGAAATTTTGTATGTAGGTTCGTTTTATATCGTGAATGTATCAATATCAATAATAGAGAAGGACAGCCACGAAGTAAAAAGACGCGTCCATAAAACAAAATTATCGAACTAATAAGTACAGTTCATTGTATGATTNATTTTTACATTTTTTTAATTTCAATCGCTTTTATAATTTCCAACCCTTCCTAATATATTTTATTATGCAAGTTTTCAATTTGACAGAATCACAACAGACATGTGGAATAGGCCTACTAGGGAAACCACGTTAAAAAAAACCCGCTAAGTACACTACCTCATAGGTGGCGTGGAAACGTGTGCATATAATAACGATTACAACTTTTACAACTTTTTGACTCGTCGTATCTCAGAAACGGTGGCTCTAAGAAAAAAAAGTATTCCTGAAAATCGCGAAAAAACAGTTTTTTTCGAGATTTTTAACCTTTGACCTCGAATAATTTTTTTCCAGGCATCGCAATCATTCGGAATTTCAAAATTTTATTTTCAACTATGTTTTAAACAATTACACGCGTTTGCAGCTTGTTGTGAATTTATGTACCTTCCAATGTCTAGATTTACCGGATTATTCTCCATGCCCTTGAATTTTCGGTGGGTGAATCTATATTTAATATCAGCATTGCACCCGTGGGGAGCCGAGGCGGGTCGCTAGTCTCGCTATATGAGAGAGTTGGACTTTAGCAAATTTGGCGGCAATATAAAATTCCATGTATTAATATCCTGATCTTTCCATGAAAAATATATATGTATGAGCAAGTGACTTGACAGTGACTCACCTTCTAGCACTATTAATTCTCTTTTCAAAAAATGTTTCCCATGCATACATTTTGATTATTTTGATTGCCGACAGCGCTTCTTGAGTCACTTGAAGTCGTTCATCTGTTTTTTTCCCAGTCTTGAGTCTCAGATTCTCAACCCACTTTCCAATGAAAACTAAAAAAGAAAATGAATATATTTCATAATCAAGTAGATTGGAAATCGAATGATGACAGTTCGCTAAAATACAGTTGAGCAGTGGAAAAAAGTGGATCAAAATGTGTCTGAAAACTGTATCGAGGAGAGATACATACGTATAAGAAAATACAAATTTTGAAGTAAATTCTTCTTTTTAACAACGAGTTATACAAATACCACGCTGGATATTGAATTATATCCAAAAGATATTTATGCAAAATGCCTCACAGGGGTTAGTCTCGCAGATGTTTGTCGTTCATATATGAAACCTTCGTCTAGAACAGGGGTCTCCAAACTACGGCCCACGGGCCAAATCCGGCCCGCCAGTGTCATCAATCCACGTATATGTTGTCCAACAACGCATTTAGTCAAGCTAGCGTAGAGATACGTAACATATGGAAACCTCTAATCAAGCGAAAAACGACCAACTCCCGCCAAACGGTCATCTCCCGCCAAAACCAATGAAGCGGAGAGAGGGAAGAGGAGATGGGTGAAATCAATCAAATGATCTATAAATAGTCAGATCTCGGAGGAATAAGTCCAGTTATCACCCGAAGACGATTGTGGATACTAACAATCGAAACGTTGTTTGTTTTTTCATTTTTTGTTGATAATATTTCTAATAATTTTTTTCAATTTTTTCAGCTTTTATTATTACTTCAATTTTTATTTGTTTGGTTGTTGTTGTATGTTATTTCTTTGTAATTTCAGTTTTTTGGTTAATAAAATTGTTATTTTCGGTTGATCTTTTTGATTTTTTTCAGGGATTTCAAATCAATTTATATTATATTAGATAATGAAAGTCCGAACTGATGAAATACAGCTAGTAATGATAGCTAAGCAATAGCTAATTTCGCAAAACTAACACAACCGTCAACGTCATCTGCCCTCAAGCGTCTGCCCGCGTTCTCGGCGATGGCGCTTCATTACTCAGACCGCCCCCTACCCGGCGCTTCGTCCCCCGTCGTCTTACAGTAGACGCAACGCGTAATGGCTTACTCCGTTGCGTCAAGTTAATCTTGTCGTAATATATTGGAGCACATTTTAGAGCCATTTCCAAGAATTTGATGTGACTTGACGCCAGGGCCTCTATCTGCCTACTCCTTAGATGTGTGTTTGGTGATATTTATATCGGCGGAAGCTACTAAAGTGGAAATGTGGGGGCGGGGCTTCAGGTGATTACCACCACAGAACGTCTTGGTGGGGGAGTGAGCATCGGAAAATTAGGGGTTTCCAGGCAGTAGGCGATACAATTGCCGCAGTAGATTTTCAATTATTGGAACACACGGTTACGGGCTGTTTGGCCACTCGTCGGTTCCAGGTAGTGTCTATCATCAACATAAAGTCGATGATATAGTCAGTGGGCATACTTGAAGACTGGCTATAAATCAAAACGAATTGTTCTTTTAGATGATTGCCAACAGCATATGCAGGAATAACTCCAGTGAAGAATCCTACACTGACACCTGTTGGATATAATTCAACGCCCTTCGTGGTATTGGCCAGGGGAGTAGTTGTTTTCTGATAGGTGTCAGTCCATTAACCTACAGTGTAGGGAGTTGAGACTGGCCTGAACAAATTATTCTTTTAGATGATTTGATTTATAGCCAGTCTTCAAGTATGGCCACTAACTGAGAAGTTCAATCCAAGAACCACAGGTAGACAGTTGTTTCAGGCTATTGGGCATCGTCACTACTAGGCAGGCGGTCCTCGATTGAAGACAAGAAAATTACTTGATAAAAATAACAGAAAAATGGGAAGCTATCCTGGAAGGCCATCGGGAATCGAATCCACATGTTTCTAGAAATGATATGATATCGATAAAGGTTAATGCAGTCAAGCTGCTGGAAAATAATTCTATGAAAATCAAAAGATAATTATATGAGTACAATTCTGATCACTCCCATATTGATTTCAATATAAGGGCCACCAGCAGACAACTGTTTCAGCCTATTGGGCGTCGTCAGTACTTCGACTGCATTACCCTTTCCCGATTTCATATCATTTCTAGAAACATGTGGATTGATCAATTAATCAACAAATGCGTCTTCGAACAAACAAACGAAAAACAATTGAATTCTCAGATAAAAATTAGAATAATTTATAAACGAAACATTCATTTATGAAAAAAATTGTGAACAATCGGTGTAAACGATGAAGGTCAATGGGTGTGAAGACATTATAAACTTTGTATTCATGCAGTATCTGGTGTTTAGACAAAATAAGTATCCGAATACATGAAACTTGATTTCAACAATCTTTCAACAATACCCACATGAAGTGTTTAAAAAAAATATCACGGTTTTTCAAAGAACATTTCACCAACTCCTGATCTATCCGCCAGTAAAGTTTTGTCTTCATTGTTTTTGATGAATTTGCTTCAATTATTATTTTTCCGATAAGCTACGTCCAAGTCAGGTGATGCATATATATGGAAAAATACGTACCTTGTAGAGGCATTGCAGCAATCAATATTCCGATTCCATAAAAAGATGCCAGTCCAATTTTTCTGAATAGCAAATAGCATATTACGCATACTTGCACCAATCCACTTGCCATGCTGCTGACTATGTAAACAGATTCTTTCAGCATTTGTACATCTTTGGTAATCAAGGTCACCATATTACCTTTCGCAACTTCTGATATTGAAAAAGTTGTGAGTTTCAGTGATTTTCGATATAGTAAAGAAGTAAATGATGCCTTTACTTCAACCCCCAGTTTCTCCAACCAGAGTAAAAAATTGTTGAAATAAAAACGATGGCCTAGATTCACAGCAATCACCAAAGCACCATAATAATATGCATCGTATATTGTCATTTTGGTTTGTCCTTGACTGAAGAAGGAAATGAAGTTTGTTAATGCATATGGCTGGATGACGCTGAAAATTCGAATTAATTCCTTATTAGTCATGACTAATATTTTCCCAAAATTACTAATTGGCATTTTTGACAGGTTGAACAAGACCTTGACCAGTGTTACTATTTTCATTAGGGTTTGAAGGCCGTCGTAGTTTGGAACTGCATCATAATGTTTCGCCAGCACGAGTGGCTGGCTTCTTCAGAGGTCTATTTATCTTGATGATTCTGATTCGTCGGTTGTATTTATGTTAACTCAGGGAGTTTGCCTCTCTTGTTGATGTGTTGCTATTGGCCGAAGTGTTATTACCTGTTAATGACGTATCTACCAATAAAAACCCGCCGTATCTGTTAGCGGGTTGTTATTGGTTAAGGTATCAATACCTGACTTAATGAGTGAGCCGTAACATTGCATTGCGCCGCTTTAGTATCTTTGAGTATGGGATTCCAAAACCGGTTAAGCATTACCACCTTCTCTTTTCTGTTGTGGTTTTCCATATGTTTATAAATTTTTATAGATTCTCGTACAAGCCGACTGTGGTATTCATGATCGGGGGCAACTAATTTCACATCTTCAAACAGTGTCGTGTGATCTTCTTCAGTAAGCGCGTGGTCCGCTACTGCCTATTTGTCCATTTGACCTAATCTACAGTTTCTCCGATGTTCGTTTAGCCTTGTACCCATGAATCTTTTGGTGGTACCGTTACAAACTTTTCCGCAGGTGCATATTATACGATATACTATCGCAGCTGATAGTGGATCTCTCTTGTCTTCCGCAGATGTAAGGCATTTTCCGGGTAGGCTTGAACACTGTTTTTATTTTATGCTTTCCTAAGATTTTTTCGATTCTGTCTGTATCCATTCGATCTCAAAGCCAATTGAAAATGCTCCAATTTTGTTCCTGTTCACATATTCTACGTCTTTCAACGAGTACATCTACAAAAGCAACCCGTTGTTCCCGTTCAATCTCCATGGTGAACTTGATACTAGGGTGTTGAGCATTTATGTGGTCTAGAAATGGGTTCAGTTTGTCCCTGCCATGTCTCCAGATGACGAAGGTGTCATTCACGTATCGTAGCCAAATGGTTGCTTCGAAATCGAAAGCGTTGATTGTCTTCTTCTCAAATTGCTCCATGAAGAAGTTGCCTATCACCGGTCTGAGTGGACTTCCCATTGCTACGCCTTCTAATTGATCATAGAAATTTCCTTTACATTGGAAGTAACTTGCCCGTGAGGCAGGTCTTGAAGAGTCCGACAATATCAGTAGGAATCAGGTTGACTATCTCTATCAAAGAGCTTTTCAGCGTGAACAAGGGTACAACGTCGAAACTGTCAAGAATATCACTTGGCTCCAAGGTTATATTCCTAATTTTTCCCACAAAGTATGTCGAATCCTTGACGTATTAGGTTGTTTTTCGAATATGAGGCTGGAGGAGCGATGCTAGGTATTTTGATACCTTCGAAAAAGTTTGTATCGGTACCACCAAAAGATCGTGGATACAAGGCTGAATAAAAATTGGAGAAACTGTAGATCAGTTCAAATAGACAAATCGGCAGTAGCGGAACACGCGCTTAGTGAGGGAGATCACATGATACTGTTTGAAGATGTGAAACTACTTGCCCCCGATCAGACATACCACTGTCGGCTTGTACGGGGAGTCATAGAAATCCATAAACATACGGAAAACTACAACAGAAAAGAGTAGGCGGTAACATTTAACCGGATTTGTAATCCCATACTTGAAGATGTTGAAGTGGCAACAGCGCAATGCTATGTTACGGCTCTTAGAGACAACAGGTCATTCAATCAGGTATTAATACCTGGTCGGTCGGTAGCCAAGCGGTTCGGCGTGGGTGATTTGTTCACTCACTCGAATTGACTGCCGTGTTGGTCGGTGGTTCAAGCCCTAGTCTGAACGATCGATCTCCACTTGCTATCGTCCAACTCGTGTTAGGAATGACACGTTAAAAGGTAAGACCTCGTTAATCCTTAGCTCGCACAAGTTTCGACTTCTGAGGGTTGTCGTTCTTAGGGGTGCGACAGTTGGTTAACGGAAACACAGATTTTCAACAGATTTTTTAAACAGATTAATACCGTAATCAAAAACAACCTATTAACAGGTACGGCGTGAATAGATACGTTATCAATAGGTAATAACACTTTGGCTAATAGCAACACATCAACAAGCGAGGGGAACTACAACATAAATACAACCTACGAACTATAAATCACCAGTCGTCGGTGTATCATCAAGATGAATAAACCTCTGAAGAAGCCAGCCAGATACGGAGTTCGTAGGGGTGCGACAGCTGGTTAACGGAAAAACAGATTTTAAACAGATTTTTTAAACAGATTAATACCGTAACCAAAAACAACATGTTAACAGGTACGGCGTGAATAGATACGTTATCAATAGGTAATAACACTTTAGCTAATAGCAACACATCAACAAGAGAGGGGAACTACAACATAAATACAACCACTCGTACTGGCGAAACATTAGGATGCAGTTCCAAACTACGACAGCCTTCAAACCCAAAAGAAAATAACTTAAAATCTCGGACGCGAAAACCTTAACTAATGTATAAGACCTTGATTGTTCACCTTCGAGATGTTTTATAAACCACGTTTATGGAACACATCCATAAATATCTCCAACCAAATCTTCTCCATAACAATGCAACAATGGATAAATTTATTCGTTTTCCGGTCTTTATCCATAGCTTTTCAAGTTTTTCCCCACATCTTTTTGAGTTACAACTGTGAATAACTTCGTATAAATCTTCCTGTTGAAGATCATTTTTAAACGCTTTCTTCAGTAGAGGTATTATGTATCTGAAATAATTTAATAAGATAGTTTTGAACTGACAGGAAGAGAATGTGTGATTGTAGAGTGTTGGGATATCAACACAGTTACGATATTTGGTACTTTATTCATGCAAATGATGGAGTATCAAGAATTAACGATCATCAGGGCCGATCATCAGGGGATCATAAAAAACAGTAATTTTCCTGCTGATCCTCAAATTGCCGAAACTTTCAGAAATATCAATATGATCAATTTCGAATCGAAATTATCGTTTAAAAAATGGCTACCAAAAACAAAAGTTTGTGTTTAAAACTTGAGTATTGAGGGTAGCATGACATCATGTGTGAAAGTTATGATAATATTGATGAGTGATAGTCCGATGAGTTTCTATGAAAGTTATGATAATATTAATGAGTGATAGTCCGATGAGTTTCTTCAACAAAGTGCTTATATATTTTCAACATCTCTGCGAAAGAAGATGCAAAGAGTGTAAACTTTTACAGCTGGAGATAATTGTTTCGAAGCTATTTTTCGGGTTTATTGGCCGTAGTCATCAGATTTTTATGCCTGGCATTTCGTCTACCACTGCGAAAGACATCGAAAGCGATGAGGCAACGGTCAAAATATTCAATTAATACTGCATTGTGAGATTTTCACTGGACAGTTTACAAAGTCGCTACAAGTGTTTCGTTGCTGTACAATAGCTGCTTCAAGCGTCTTTATACTCAATGTTTGAAAACTAAACATTAATAAGTCGGTATTGGTTTTAAAACTTCATCATAATCCTTCGAAACAGCGATTTTTTATACGTTCGATATTTGTGTCGAATCTTGGTACCACTTGGTCTTGAGAATTCACAATAAATAACTTATCGAAGTGAACTCTAATTCGACACTGATGAAGTTCAAGCGTGATTTAAAACTGGTTTCAATCAAAAATATTCATTAAATGAATATTCCGTGCTTCAAAATCATCTCATTGTTTTAATTGTGTATTCATTTCTAATTCATTAGTCAATAATAATCTGAATGATTTCATTTGTTCTCTCTACATCCCGGATATAACGATTATCATTATTATTTTCTAAGGTTGCTGGTCAAGCCCTATTTCTGGAGCTTCTATATATTCAGAGAGCGCTCCAGCATCATCAACCAATGATCATTCCCCACACCGTAAGGTAAGAGATCATCAAGTCATGTGTCCTAAGAAAACGCATGGAGCCAAGAATGGCAAGCCTGGCAAGGATATTCCGGCCAGATATTTACCTTAGTGTGGCAAGTCGGCATGATCTTGTGCTTCGAGAAAAAGTAAGTGAACATTCCACCAAGGGCTACAATGATCAGAGCAATCATCGTAACGTAACTGAGGAGTTCGAAGAGAAAATGTCGATATTTCGTCAGGCGCTTTTTTTCTTTCCTGGTTATATTCGTCTCACCCGGAGCTTGAAACTCAACGTCGAAGTGGAGTTTTAAGCTCCAGGTGAGACAAGTTTTAAGTTGAAGAGGTGCCACAGCCTGATTGCGAAACCAGCCAAATGTTACACTCATGCTCAATCCCCAAAGAGATGGGATGGAATCAAAGGATCCAATCTTGCCAGGATCACCTTGGCGATCCTGGGAAGCTGGCGCCGAAGAAATATCTGACGATGACCAGGAAAAATCTACGCTTAACAGTAGGATTTCTGACTGGCCACTGTCAACTAAGGAAACACCTCCATAATATGGGTCTAGAGGACACACCTCTATGCAGGATGAGTAAACAGGAAGATGAAACTGTCAGGCATGTCCTATGCGAATGTCCGGAGTTATCGTCAATAAGAGAGTGTGTGTTCGGCGAGTCTTGGCCTACACGTGGCGATATGAAGGAGATGTCTCCCACAGACCTGTCCACCTTCCTGGAAAGGACAGGATGGACGATGATCTAGGAGGACAACTCCTCGGGAAGATGTACAATGGGTCACATGTGGCCCAAGTGCTGTGGGCTTACACTCACCCTCCCTACTCTACAGATACAGATCATCCCACCCCGATGGTCGAGAAAAATATCAAGCTCATCAACTTACATGAGCCTGAGGATGGACGATCGATAGTCCCAAAGAATACCTTACTTTATATCCTCACAACGGATTGAATACCCCTCGGAGCGTGAAGCACCACAGGTTCCTCGTTGATACCGGTAGGAGTATCAAGGATGATAATGTAACTGGTAATACCACGTTATCGATGAATATGCCGAGAGCAAGTACAGTGAGGTTTCAAGCGCCTCGTGGCAGGCCTTGCACTTGGTGACAGAGACCTATATTATCCATCACGCAACTGCGGCAGACTAAAGAATTGAAATCATGATCCTGGAAGGCCATGTTGAACTTCCCAGTTTCCAACGTTTTGCTACACTTACTGAGAAAAGCAAAGGTTAGAGTCTTTAATAAACCGAGATCTTCAATGATGTTGAAGAAGACCCCATACATCCGTCTATCTTTGTGTAGCCTCATAAGTGAAATGATCTCTGCGGATTTGATGTTGGCCTATTTCTGAACGGGTTCCAACTGGGTGATAAAGCTGAGATCACCTCGTTCTGTAAGTTTTTTGAGGAAATCAAGTTTAAACCTCTGTCGAGGACGTTTGAAAATGAAGCAAATCAAAGAAAAACTGCAAGCATCATCGCATCTTTTCGGATTCTGAAAATAAAGTCAGATTTCAGTCTCCAAAACGTTAATATAGGTATTTTTTTTCGTAAGACAGTAGCTTCAAACACGACAAGTTACTGGTAAAAGGAACATTATATTTGTGAAAAATACTCCAAATCACCGTAGCAAATGAAATCAAAAGTTCACCCCTTCTCCATTTTTATGAAATTCTCCATTATAATTTTGTTTTTTTAGATAATGAAAAGCGAAAATTCCCTAAAAAGGTTGGTAAAAACTAAATCAAGTTAAACGGTCACTCGAGCAACTGCCTTAAAAAAGGATGTTTCCATTTCTGCTTCCTCATAACTGCAGAACATGTAAGAAAAATCCGAACTCCTGACGACTGGTACCAATCTGTCACGTAGACTCTCAAAAGTCCATAGTCTCCGAGTTGTGAGGGATAGTATAACCACTCCAAAGGAGTAGAGTGAGATCGAGAGAGCAAGCATATTTTTTTAACCAAAGTATACGCTGATTAGGCTCTATATTCCGAAACCCCGATACATTCGGGAGGGCGCGCCAACATTATCAACCAACGATCACACCCTACACCGTGGGGTAAGTGATCATTGGGTCCGAGAATCATGTGTCCTGAGTAAGCGCAGTGAGTCAAGAATGACAGCCTTCTGCATCTATCGAGAGAAGGGAGGGCATCATTCCACCAAGGACCCCAATAATCAGAACAACCATTATGACATCCGTTTTCCCTCCACTTTGCTGACGATATTCGTCTCGCCAGGAGCTGAAAACTCCACGACAAATATTGTTTCGCTCTGATGGTCGAGAAGGACTACATCAGGCTTATTAGCTTATATGGGCCTAAAGGTGAGGAACGAATAGTTCTAATGAATTCGGCACTTCTCGTTCCCCACAACGGATTCAATATCCCCCGGAGCATAGGGCAATACCGGTGTCTCGTCAATACCGTAAGAGTGCCGTAGATGGTGATATAGCACTCTCAAGGCCGCGTTATATCGATGGATACAGGACGAGACTGCATATGCTGAACATGCTGACAGCAAGTGCATTAGGGTCTTGGGCGCCTCGCGGCATGCCCTGCATCATGTGTCAGGAACCTCTATACCCATCACTTGACTGCAGTAGACTAAGGTGTTGAAGACACCATCCTGGCAAGCCATGATGAACCCCTCAGTTTCCGACTTCAGTCCACTCGACCTGAGAAAAGCGAACGTCATGCGCTTTTATGAGCCAAGATCTCCAATGTTCTTGAAGAAGACCCCATACATTGGCTTATCCTTATCTTATCCTTATCCGCAGAAGTGAGGTGATCTGTGCGGCTTTTATCTGAGCTTTTTACTGAACGAGTTCCAACTCGGTGACAGAGTTGTGGTCACCTCGTTCAGTGTCTGAAAAACAAAACCGAGTTCATCAGCTGCTTGGGCAGCTACCCTAAAGAGAAATGCTCCAATTCCTGCTCTCATTATTATTATTACTATTACTATTTATTTTTTCTGATCACAAAATGAAATAAGGGGAAATTACGCTGACATACGATGTGACAAAGTGGTTTTTTGGGTTGTCTTTTCAGATCCATGACATACCGTGAGATATCCTTGATGAAAAATATTCTCTCCTTTAGGATAAGTTCGAAAAATCAATTTTGTAAGGGTGGAAGTTAACAATCACAGTGTGACGGACATCTTTTATCACAAAATTTGAAATGAAAATTATTTGAATACTCACGAAAAAGTAACCAAGGAAAAAATGTTTGCCGTTTCTCTAGGATTTTTTTTCCTTTCCTCGTTCTCACAGTGATCCATTTTTCTTAGCCACAACAATACTAGTTATCCGTCACCGAATGATTCATTTTCATAAACTGCAATGTTTGATTTCCGTGCCTAATTACATTAGAACATTATGAAATATGACAACTTGTAAAAGGATAATTATGATTTTTTTCAACTTCACTTATACGTGGTTACAATAATTCGGAATGAATACTGTATTGCGTTCATTAGTGGTGGCTTATCTGCATACCATGATAAAGCTAGTGAAAACTTTTCGCAGTTAATTGATAATTGTTTTTTGAAACGTGGTCATTTGAATAATGAATACCCACCAAAACCCACTTTTCACAATTGAATTTTTCTTCAGGGCCTTGTAACAATGATGAGTTCTTGATTAAATTATCCACCGAAAAGTAGTTTCTTCGTGTTTATAATATTACTATTTTAAAAACTATCAGACATATAAGATACATATTAAAAGAAAAACATAGCAACAGACAAACTTCCGAGACAACACCGACACAAAACGACATGAAACAAACGAATGGCTTTATCTGTGATGAGGTGGTGTCTGTTTTTTTATCAATGACAAATGGAAAAAGAATGAAAAAAAGTAAATATTTAGGTATTTTACTTATTGAATTGAAATATGCAGTATTGAGTCCATCGACATATCTTCTATTGTTACCACTATCGCATTTGAGGATATGTAACATTTCGCTCAATAGTCTTTTGGATAAATATGGTTGAACATCTAGAATAGTCGAATGATCAAAATAAAAAAAGTGTCCATATTCTTTTTTATTTTCAACGAGGGGTGTGGGGTTTCTTAAAGTCTCTCATGTGTTCTAAAACTTGTGTTTTAATGTATCGTCCGGTTTGACCAACATAGCATTTGTGACAGCTTCCGTAGTTCAATTTGTTCATTATATTGGTTTGTATCACCACCAGAGATACAATCCAACCTTTCTTCAGAAAAATTATTGAATCACTAAACTAGTTAACTGAATAATTCTTTTATCGATAGAAATTACGTTATTGATATCATTATCATTATTTTTGTAAGGAAATTATCATGTAACCTGAACGTTCCGACCCTTGCAAAAAATATTTCAATAACCTAGGAATTTTAACTCCATCTTATTTTCCTGTGATGGGAGCCCTATATTTTGTTCCCAAAAAACAATCTCTCTTCAATTTCACTTCATCAAACACCCAGCAACGTCATTGAATGATGATACTTCTTCATCACACAATTTCTTGAACACAGCGTTATGAATATGAATCATAAAAGTATTTCGATGATAATCAACAATTGCAACTACATTCTTGAAGTACGTAAGTTTGGTTTCATTTGTGTTCCTCATATAGGGTGTTCCTCATATAGGGTGTTTCATCAAGCGCTTCCTATCTTTAAATTTAAATGAAACAAAGTGTGTGTGAGATATCATCGAAATTTTTTTATCGTTTGAAAGACCTATTGATGTCATTATGTGTGGCATACAACATCATTCAAATATCTGTCACGGCTTCTACGGGTGGAACGCATCCGAAACGTCCAATTTTCCGTGACTCTGGCGCATAAATCAGGCTGAATTTGACCAATGGCATAGGTTATGTTGGCTTTGAGGACCGCTATAGTTCGTGGCTTATTCGCATACACCCGCTACTCAAAGAAACCCCACAAAAAAAGTCTAACGGGGTCAAATCACACGATTTCGGATGCCAGTTCACATCATCTCCATGTGAGAGGTCCATGCTCTCAAATCACTCGTGCAGATTATCCAATATGAACACGTAGAGTTGTACTATTGAAACCACATGTCTTTAGTATCCATATCACCCAGTTCAAGCAAAAAAAAGTTGGTGATTATCAACCAATAGTGCTCGCCGTTGACAGTGATGGCTTGGCCAACGTTGTCCTCAAAGAAATATAGATCGATGACGCCGTCAGCCCCAAATTCACACCAAACTGTATTTTTTTCGGGATGCGTTGTATGCTTTTTGGTCTTTTGTTTGTTCACGTACCCATTCAGCCAGAAATAGGGTTCATCGCAGATTATTTTTCGATGAAAATTAGGGTCAGATGCCAACTGCTCCAGAGCTCATTCAGCTCAAACGGCGTAGCCTTCAGTCGTTTACCTTCTGTTCCTGGGTCAGTTGAATTTTGTACGGGTGCAGGCCCAAGTCACGATGTAAAATTCGCCAGGTTGTGGTCTGCGAAAGGCCTAGTTTTTTATTTTAATGAATTTATCACCAGTTCGAAACATCAATTTGATGCTTTCAATGAAAAAATTTGGAGGCTAGGCCACCAAAACAGTTTTACATCAATAAAACGCTTCTCATCAACAGCGATAAAACTAACAGCCTTGAATATAACATCCAGGTGTTTTTAGAAAAATTAGAATCGGGGCAGCCCTTAGGCTCCGATGAATATGACATATCTATATGAGCATGGATTTTCCTGAGTCAGGAGGGTAGCTTTGTAGTGGTTGAAATCATATAAGAAAAATTAGCAAAAATAGGCACCTGAATGAAACATTTCATAAACAACAATATAACTGATTACAACTCGAATGATACAGAAACTTCCACAAGGTTCTAGTTTGGGGCCAACACTTTTTCTCATCTATGTCAATTATATTGTCTGTAACTATAACTCATGTAAGATATTGTAGTGTATTAGGGAAAACTTTAGAGTACGCTCCTTAAAGAAAGAAAAATGTTCTTTTTTTCAAGACAAGGTCATGTATCTTGGGCACATTATTGATAAAAACGGGTTGAGAACTTCTGAAGAAAAGACACAGGCCATTAAAAAAGCAAACATTCCAAAAAATGTCACAGAACTGAAATCGTTTTTAGGAATGGTTAATTTTTATTGTAAATTCATTCCGAATGCCTCAGATGTGATGCAACCTCTATATGAATTATTAAAAAAGAACACCGAATGGAACTGGTCAAAAAAGTGTCAGAACAGTTTTGAAAATATGACTTGCTCATTTTGACCCCGATAAAACAGTAAAATTGACAGTTGACGCTGGTAAATTTGCCATATCAGCCGTGATTAGTCACGTGTATGAAGATAAAAGAGAGAGACCATTTGCTTTCGCGTCGCGTTTACTAAACTGAGCGGAATTAAAAGAACTATGTGCTATAATTTTCGGAGTGAAAAAAATTCTTCCAGTACTTGTTTGGCAGAAAATTTCAGCTTTTCACAGACCATAACACATACCACTACTAACATTATTTAGTCACAAATTCGGAATTCCAGTATTTGCCGCCAACAGACTGCAAAGGTGGGCACACATACTTTCTGCTTTTGACTATGAAATACACTTTGTTAATTCTGAAAATAATCAGGCAGATTTTCTTTCACGATCACCAGTTAGTGGTGAGTGCGAAAGAATCGCAAAAATATCATATTCACATTGTCTTGAAAATCACGATAGTATTTCATATTTAGATTTGGTATCAAATCAAAATATACCTCTAAAGTTTAACGAAATAAAACTGGGCACACAAAAGGACCCAATTTTGAGTAAAATAATGGCCAACAAAATGTACGGAGTCACATATGCAACAATATTGTTTGCGAAAAAACGAGCTCAACGTCGAGCAAGATTGTATACTTTGGGGATACAGATTAGTCATTCCTGGGAAATTTCAAAATTATATCATTAGACAACTACACGAATGTCATATAGGTATAGTAAAAATGAATGCGCTAGCTCGATCTTACTTTTGGTGGCAAGGCATTGACAAAGATATAGAGAATATCGCAAATTCTTGCGAAATTTGTGCTAAATTTTCAAGTTCTCCACCAAAATCAAGTTTAACCGTTTGGGAATGGCTTAAAGATGTTTGGACAAGGCTCCATCTTGATTTTTTCGGACCTTTTTTAAGCAAATACTTTCTAGTTTTAGAAGATGCAACATCAAAATGGATCGAGTGTAGCGAAGTAGATAATATGACCGCTTATGCCACGATACGAATTTTACGGGACGCATTCGCAAGGTTTGGATTACCAAAGGAAATATGTACAAATAATGCTCCAACATTTTGCTCTGATGAGTTTCAAAAATTTCTGAAAGAGTGTGGCATTGCACATTTAACAGGACCACCCTACAGTCCCCAACGGTCAGGCCGAAAGCGCTGTTAAAATCATGATGAAAGCAATTTTGAAGGGCCATAGCGAAGGTCTCTTTCCCAGTATCGAAACACTCATCACTCTACTACGGGTGAGGCACCTTCAAAATTACTTTTGGGCCGACGGCTGCCATCGAAATTTGATCTATTACTCCTATTAGTTCGAAACACAGTATATAAAAATCAAGACAATAAAAAAAAATTAAAAAGGAATATTAAGGCCGATAAAGTGTGGATGAAGGACTATAGATCAAATTCTCAAAGATGGGAAAAAGGGCATATAAAAAAAAAAAATCTAGAACATATCAAGTGTCTTTGGACGATGGAGAAATTACTTGGAAAAGGCATATCAATCAGTTAAGACCGAGAATCGAAAGGAAATCGTTCCAAGTTATTCCGACTACTGAAGAAAATGATCAAATTCTGAAAAGTCAAGACAGTGAAAATTGTCCTGACCATTTGAACGACGGTATTTCACCACCAAGGCCAGAAAACGCTAATTTAGAGATAGAGTCAAGTTACCGTCAAACTGACATTTCAGAAAATGACCAGAGTAATAGCGACAGATGTCTGCGAAGATGAAGTAAGTTGAAACCTTCAGAACGATTTACTCCATTGTAAAAAATACATTTATACATTTATACATTTTAACGTGTATTTTCTGATTTTCTGTGAGGAAGACATGTGTAGTGTATTAGGGAAAACTTTAGAGTACGCTCCTGCACTTCGCTAGGTAAAAAAAGGCTCTCGGGCCTGAATGTATCGCAGACCGAATATATGGCTAGTAAGTAATAAACGAGAGGCATTAAACACTTGTTTGATTATAACCTTAAACACAACATCAGGAATTGTAATGGAATGAAACAGTTTACACCGGAAAAACATTTATTTTTCTTTCTCATTATCAAACATATATTCACCTTGATTGGCCAGTTTCACCATTTTGAAAAAAAATCCGCTTCTATTCCTGAGTAACGTAGATGGAGCGTCATATTCCACAATAACACCTTTACTCAAAATCATTACTCTCTGACATTTCAAAACTGAATGTAATCTGTGTGCAATAATAAATATCGTACAGTTTTGAAAATGCTGTGTGATAGTATTATGCAACATTACATCTGTAGTATAATCCATATTTGCTGTGGCTTCATCCAGAATGACGATTTTGTTTTTTCGTAGAATAGCCCTAGCTAAACAGAAAAGTTGCTTTTGCCCGGCACTCAAATTTATTTCACTTATCATATCCAGATTCAAACTTGGAACCAAATATTTCAAGTTCACTTTTTCTAAGGCATTCCATAAATCCACATCTTCAAATTCTCCGAATGGATCGAGATTGAAACGAACAGAACCATGGAATATTACTGGGTCTTGGGGAATTATAGAAATATTTTTGCGAAGAAATTTCATGGACACCGTTTTAATGTCAACACCATCAATTAAAATTTTGCCCTGAATATCGTATAATCTGAAAATTGTCGATATCAATGATGACTTTCCAGCGCCTGTTCTTCCCACTATGCCAATCATTTGCTTTGGCTCTACTTCAAACGACAAATTCTTCAGGACAGTGGATTTGCCATAAGTGAGTGAAACATTTTCAAAATTCATGCAACCTTGATTCGGCCAATCATCCAATACCATTCCTGCCTCTGATTCTGGCGTAACTTTTGTATATTCTAACAGCCTTTCTACGGATGTCATATAATTCTCCATTACTGACCACTTTCGAAGTCCCCATTGAATGGTGTCCCCTAGCAATGATACCTGTGTTAGAGCTAGACCAACATCACCTGCACTTGCCTCTGAAAAATTACGTTCAATAGTTAACAGCCACAAAATTTTATTGTTGAAGTAACAGTAATTAGATAGAAGAAAATAGTGATGAGATTGGTATACAATGTGGTGTGAAAAAGTAACAGTCATACCTTTCATGGAGGGTTTGGAGTAATTTAGATGGAGGGCAAAAAGTGATGGACTTGAGAAATCGAAGTTAAATGTGATTTTGGTGGGACATGCGTTCTTGGGATTAGAGTTCCCTGACTAAAACTTTCATAACAGCTATGGAAATCCCTCTAGATCTACCTCCTCTCCACGTATTCTTGAAGAGAAAGGCTAGATGTGCATACAGAAGTGTGCATATTGCCAATTGTAGGAAATAGGATTAGGCAGAACGTAGCTTCTGACAGCGAAAGTCACATAATTCGGGAAACGACCTCCAACTCCTCAACAACGATTCGCTCTATATTTTCCTAATCCCAAGTAGAGAAGACAGGTTTTCCAAAGAGGAGGACTCACTGAGAGCAGATAATTTGAAAACACCTTCAGATTCTAGTGCCGGTGCGTACAGTCTCAGATCCAGAGTAGATATAATAACCTCTCTATGGAACTTTGTGCCTGTGTTTCAAGTTGTATGTGGGGAGATTGGCGAAACTAACACATGAATCAATAAAAAGATTCTCGGACAGCCGAGCGGTTTTGAAGAATTTGGCTTCCACCGAGCAACATGCTAATTGACAGTGAACTGCCAGAATTCCAAAATAAAGAATCAACAAATTGTCTCTGGTCTGGTTTCTTCGCCACAGTGGTGTGAGAGATTATGAATCTGCTGACACAAGGAAGGGCGCTACCATCTGACATGATTTCATTGAGAATATGTTTTGTATGATAACAATATAACAGAATTCGGATTAAACTGATGGAAAATTCACATTGTTAATTCACCATCTCATCAAATAATCAACTTCCACATCAGAAAACAGATTCGAAAGAGGGAAAGAATTCAATTATATTTGGTAATTTTTTCAGAGTTCTCAAATCCAATTTCAAGCATTCCAGATGTGATACTTCATAGTCGTGTTTGAACTCGTGCCCCTTTACCAAAATATGGTTCTCAAATGTGGAATTGATTTTCATAATCTAGAAACTATTCTCATGTTCTTTTACTCTTCGTGTGAAGGTTCTCTTCGTTTGGTCAATATAAAGTTTCGGGTGAGAACTACAAGGCCACTTATATATGAGTACTTCTGATCTATCTGATACTGGAATATTTTCTATTGTTTCTGTTAAATTTGCTTGAATTATTTTTTGTTCTATAAGTCACGTCTAAGTCTTTCATCTTTGAATAACGAGCGATGTGATTGGTAGGTTTACCAATGTGTGATAATGTCCTATGACGCCTATTGTCGTGTCATGAAGTAGGAAATTACGCTGACATACGATGTGACAAAGTGGTTTTCTGGGTTGTCTTTTCAGATCCATGACATACCGTGAGATATCCTTGATGAAAAATATTCTCTCCTTTAGGATAAGTTCGAAAAATCAATTTTGTAAGGGTGGAAGTTAACAATCACAGTGTGACAGACATCTTTNCACGTATCTCGTTCCCGAGAACCACTTTTATTTGCAACTAACGTTACTGCAGTTTCGTCCTATAAGTACATTTTCAAACTCATATCAATGTATAAAAACATATAAATTTCCAATTCCATTTTCTTCAATTTGATGCTTTGAATGAAAAAATTGAAGGCTTGGCCACCAAAACAGTTTACATCAATAAAACGCTTCTCACCATAAGCGATACAAATGACAGCCTTGAAAATAACATTTAGGTGTCTTTACAGAAAATTAGAATCGGGCAGCACCTATCGAAGGCTTTTGACTCCGGTAAAAATAACATTCTTCTATATATGCTCGGATTTTACTGAGTCAGGAGGGTTTTAGAGTGGTTGAAATCATATATGAAAAATCGAAAAATTTGGACCAAAATGAAACATTACATAAACAACAATATAACTGATTACAAATCAAATAATACTGAAACTTCCACAAGGTTCTAGTTTGGGGCCAACATTTTTTCTCATCTATGTTAATGATATCGTCTGTAACTATGATTCACTATTCTTAGCTTCAGAGGATGACAAGATAATGAGTTGAAAGTGAACTTAGGAACAGTAACGGGATGACACAATAAGTTTTACGGTAGAGCTGACTTTCTTAGAGCAAAGTGATGATCATATTACAAAAAAATTGACTGACGACAATATTCTTCCGAAAACACGGTTTTTCACCCCAAATATTTATTTTCACATCGCTATTTGTAACCTGTTCTGTGGAAATATCGCAATTAAGTGGTACTTGAGTACGTTATATATTTTCATCAAGTATCGGCATTTCCATCACATATCATCCGGTCAGATTCATTCTGGTAGATTTTTCGAATAACTCACCTGTATCAAAAAAGATGAACTTTATTACTACAGCAATAATCAAGGTACATCCCGTACAATCCATGAAAAAGGTAAATGCTCTCATAGTGCAAATTGACGTATAATATGCTGATGTGTATAAATCTTGATGACGATCAAACTCATCTATAAGTATCTTTTCTGCATTATGAGCTCTGATAGTTGTCAAGCCTTCCAGTGATGCATTGAGATAGCCTATCATAGGACTTCGAACTAAAATGTAAGGCAGATATGTAGTAACAATCAATGAAATATCAACCCGCATCAGTTGCGTTGGGTAAAATTCCTAAGAAAATTTCCTATCGATCCGGATTCATTTATTTTTTAAATTAGTTAGGTTGAGAAACCTGAAAACATCAGACATTTACTTCTACACAGAAATGTCTTCCAAAGGAAATATATCAGAACTTTCAAATTTATTGAGAATTTCTACCCATATTTCATTTCCTAATTTCTTCACAATACTACTAATGAGAATCTAAGTATAAGATTCAGTTTGAAGTAGAGCCATTCAACAAAAGGACTTCTCCTGCACTGTAGAATTGTAACTCCCCTTCAATTCATAGGGTGTTTTCGTAAATCTTCGGAAAATCCATGAATCAAAGATTAATACCATTCGATGTGAACCAGGATACACTATTGGTGTTGATCGAATTTAAAAAAAGTAGCTTTCGAAGCTGATTGTTCACTCCACGAGCCCAGAAAAGCGAGATGTTTAATGGCCAAACCATTCAATACCAACTCTATTGGCCATTACTACTAATGTGACTACAGTTCAACTGCAGATTTGAAATGTAATTCGTTATCTCTTGCTCCAAGCCAGTGTGTGATGTTAGATTCACCAATACCTATCCCTGTTATCAGTAGCTAGCTGTAACAGTTCACCGTGCTGTGAATCGCACGTTGAAAAATAAAACCCCATTGGTTAGGTTAGGTTGGGTTAGTTCCAAAGTAAGTGTTTCTATTTGACCCTCCACCGCAACCCGCAAGGGTTTATTGTAGCTCACACCTATTCACACTCTACCAAATACACCCAGCTCCTTGACGAAGCCGATTAGTTTGTATGGTGAGTGATCTTTCAGGTCAGATGATAAGAGTACGGCTCTGCCGAACTCTGAGCACCTGATTCGGTTCCTAGCGGGGCAGACACAAAGTATGTGCTCTGCTGTTTCATCGTTTTCCATCAGAGGCGACACACACTGTCTTCCGACAGTCCTAATCTCTGCATATGATGATTCAAATGACAGTGACCTGTGAGAATGCCTGTCATCATCCAGCAACTGTTTGGTATCAGGCTTGGAAGGGTGAATAAACGCCTTGGAGTGTGCCAATCCTGGAAAATTCTGCCAGAAGTCCATAAATCTTCTTGCCATCCAGGTCTTCAATCTTTGTTTGGCAAAGCCTGAAGCAATGCCAATGACAGTCTCTGGTCCGATGAAACTGCTTGCAGCATTAGCATTTCAGGCCAGTATAGCCGGGAATCCAGACCAAAGATAATCTGTTAAGTTTTCCTATCGAGAAGAGCCGTTTTTGTGAATTTTCTACCAATTTAGACACTGCTCGGTAGAAGCCAAGAGCTTCCATCACCGCTTGACTGTCCGAGAATATTTTTATTGACTCGTGCATGAGGTTGAATTATTCCAATCAGTCGGCACACAATTCAATAGCGTAAATTTCCGCTTGAAATACAGTCGCATAGGTTCCTAGGCAGGTTGATATCTCTGTCCTGGGTCTGATGCGACTGAAAACACCAGCCCCACGTCTGGGCCGTTTTATGTAAAGCCTTCGACCGCTAGGCGATTGCACCATAAGTGATCATTGGTCTGACAATCATCACATAAACCATATATTTGTTTCGGATCTAAACCCCAAGTTTTATCACAAATCCTTCGACATGTCCATAGGGACAGTCTGGCTTTGTGTAAAGCTTTTCCAAAGTGAGCGTTCTAGGTGATTTTTTTATCAAGGACAATGCCAAGATATTTCACCTCCGTTCCAAATGGAATGAGGGAAAGTGGCGTTAGATCGTCCAATTTTCTCCTCCTGGTGAAGGGTATTATAACAGTTTTGCTAGGGTTGACAGACATCTGCTTCCTCTGGCACCAACTGTGAACAACGTCCATCGTGCTTTGGAGAATATTACAAGCTTCCCTTATCAAAACAGTAGATAAATTTCACAAAAATTCTCCTGAAAAATCATTAACGTCTGACCAAAAGTGAAAATGTGGTTTTATCGCCTTGGAAACGAGTAGGGTGAATTATTATTCAGGTACGTACATCCTCCAACAGTCTTTGAGCCATGTGAACGCCCTCTCATACAGGAAGCTTCACGTATCTCGTTCCCGAGAGAGAGGGAGATTTCTATAACAAAATAGCATCGCATCTACTGAACCTCAAAAAATAAAAAATTTATGGAACTTTGAAAAATTATGAACAGATGCATACGAGGTCTGATCAAAAAACAAGGTGAATTTTCATTTTTCTCGAAAAATAGGTATTTATTCATCAATTTATATTCTGTCCCCTTTCAAATAATCCTTGTGCTAGCGTTTTTTTTTTTTTCGATTTTCGAAGCATCGATAATATGCACTTTTTGGTAAGTCTTTGAGATATCTCTTCAACTCAGTTTTTATATCCTCAATCGTTGCAAAACGCCGTACTTTCATGGGTCTCTTCAATTTTGGAAAAAGTCGCAGGGCGACAAATCTGGTGAATACGGTGGCCGAGGCACATTTATGGTGTTGTTTTGGCCAAGAAATTACGAACAAGCCATGAACGGGTGCATTATCGTGATACAAAAGTCATGAATGGTTTTTCGACAATACAGGACGTTTTCCTCGTGTTTATTTTCATAAACAGCGCATAACTTAAGATAATACTCTTTATTGATCCTAAGACCATATGGTCAAAACCTCTGGTGCATTACGCTACGGTAATCGAAGAGATGAGTGAGCAAAAACTTGAATATTTCAAGTATTTTTGAGCACTTGATCCCATTTCTTACACAAAATTTTTTGCAAATCCTCTGATCCATTTTTTTAGATAGCAGAGAATCGCCAAATACGTAAAACAGTTCTGAATTTTATGACACTCACCGAAAAACTAAACATCCTGAACATTCGGAAATTTGAATATTCACCTGATTTTTTGAACAGACCTTGTATGTGAAAAGGCGATTCTGAATTTGATTGCAGTTTAAACAATGTGAATCGTTTCAGTAGCTTTAGTTTTCCCACGTTTTCTACACAATACTCAGGAAAATACATCGTTTTTCACTTTATTTCAGAATACAGGTGTTTTTTCTCAATATTTTTGACATAACTCACCATCGGGTTAGTAGTTTATCAGAATAACTTTCCGAAGTCTGAGCTAGACCTCCCAAAGCTAAGTTGATAATTAGTACGATGAATCCACCGCCAAATATCAAATATTTATGATAAACACGGATATTGACCTTTCCTTCTTCTTTTACCTCCTTGTACATTCTATTGTTCTTTGTTTCTTCTTTATCTATAAGCCTTTCATTTTCTTCAGATTCATCATAGTCAGCAACTACTTCTTCGCCAATTTCCTTTTCGAAAACGATCTTCTCAACCTCTTGTAATATTATTCTGGTAGGCTTTCCGGAATATTTTATTCTGCCTTCATTTACCATTATAACAGTGTCCGCTTCGTTTATATGATTGGGTGCTTGACTAACAAGGACACAAATTTTACCTTTCAAATATGTTCTGATACATTCTTTGAATATATAGTCTTGAACACGACCATCTAAATCAGTCAATGAATCGTCTAGTAGGTATATATCGCTGTTTTTGTAAACAGCTCTTGCCAGATTTATCCTTGTTCGTTGCCCTTTACTCAAATTCAACCCTCCGTCAATGACAATAGTGTCATCTGATTTTTCTAATAGGTTGAAGTCTACTTGAAGGGCACATACTCGTATAACTTCGTTATACCTGTGAATTCACGAGACATAATAATTAAAAAATATATTCGTGGTATGTTGATGATGTAGAAAACTATTCAATTTTTAAAATAATAATGTCGAAAGCAATCAATGCAAAAAGCAAAAAATTAAAACAATTAGATATCTACCGAGAAAGTTCAATACTAGTACAGTATAGGTGAGTGCAAAACAAAACATAAATGCGAAGAGTCGTAAACAAAAGGCAACCCAATATTTGCATATTTGTAGTTGAGTGGAAAAAATACCTGCTATCAACAGGATGATATTTCGCCTCAAACCACAATAAGTGTCGATAGAATTCAAGAAAACATTATCTTTGTTCACCTCGTTGTCCAGACTTGATACGTCTGGGTTGTATTTTTTGAATTTTTTTCAAATACACAGTTCACATACATCGAGTAACTATCGAATGACATGAAATGAAGTAATAAAATCACAGTGAATTGTTTATCATCTTAACAGATACAGCGAGCAACTATCGATTACCTTTTATTTCAAGAGTGCCATTGAATGTTCAGAAGGAAATGAAAGCATATTCTGGTACCTGCTGGATTGGGATTCCTATCTATTTCAAAGATGTTTTATGGTAGACACAAACAATTTTGAGTTCAATATTCGATACTTGTTTTTTGACTTTACTGAACGTATAAAACTTCCTTTCTAATATTTTCGTGCAGAAAAATGGAAAAAGCCATAAAATAGGTAAAATTTGAAAACAGAATTTCGTTTCATATCACTCCGATATCACTCCGTAGTACAAAACAAAGTTGCTTCCTGCTGTCTGTCCCTATGTATGCTTAGATTTTTTAAAGCTACGCAACTGATTTTGATGCGAGTTTTTTAATAGATACCTAATAGAGTGGTCCAAGGGGATGGTTTATATGTATAACAATCAAGTTGCTAGATACTGAAACCTCCAACTACTTCAAATACTGCTATAATACCAAAGCTTGTAAATGTTTTGATTGGCTTCCGGGTTTTGCCGTAGTCTTCTTTGGTTCAACTGCAACTGCGGCAATCATCTTCAGTGGCGTGATCGAAATACTATCCTTGACATATCAACTGAAACTCGATTTCAACTGAAGATCGATTTTAACTTGCTATAATCTAACACGTGTTAGGAATCACACGTTAAAATGTAATTCCTCGCTTGTCCTTAACTCGCACAAGTTTCGACTTCTGAGGGTTGTCGTTCGTAGGGGTGCGATAGCTGGTTATTCTTCAGAGCAATCTTGAGTGAGAAGTGGCGATGAAGATACTCCCTACGAATACTCATATGAAAACGATGAATAAACTAGAGACAGAACATCTCTTCAACGTAAACCGCCAAATTATATATTGTTTCCTCTTATTGTGACTATAGTATAAACTTTATTTTTCATTTGATGAGGAACATGGAAAATCAAATTCAGTAGACATCCGATGCACTCTCAATGAAGAAGAAAGTTGTGAGATACTCTTTCTCACAGAGTACATCACTTATTCAACATATTGTTTTTCAATTTTGTGAATTTTGGTTTCTAGGATTCGATACTACATATAGTAAATAGGATGAATATCAAACAACAACTCAATGATGTTAAAAAATACAGAAGTCTCTGTGAACTAAAAAAAATTATTTAAAAATGATGTACCAATGAGCTTTTATTTTACACTCCCTAATATCACTAGAGAGCGGCTAGACTTCTTTGAATAATGACAAAAGTTCAACTCACTTTTTTGCGTCAAATGTTTCTCCAAATATAATATTTTGTCTTATGGTTGAAGGAAAGAGCCACGGTTCTTGCGATGCATACGAAATGCAACCATTCAAGTTTATTTTTCCTCCTGTCAAAGGGTAATCCTGTAATATCACCTTCAAAAGTGAACTCTTTCCAGACCCGACCGGTCCAGTCACTACTGTCAATCCAGAATCCAATTTAAGAGACACATCACTCAGTATTATTTCATTCCCCATTTCAACTGTCACCTCCAATAATTCCAAGAATGGATTGCATTCCGCGGCATCTTTGAAAGTACATGGATGGAATTCTTCAGCTCTGATTATTTTATTTATTCTGGTTGCTGCAGAAACCAATTCTGCAAACCGACCTATATTCCAAGGTATGTCATTTCCAAGAATTTTCCTCAAAGTTTTGAAGTTGGTCAACAAGTAAAACACCATCGTAGTGTCTGTTGGAAACCCCATCCAAATGTGGGCAGTTATTAGAATATACAGTCCAAAGTTACTGGAAAGTACACCAATCAAAAGTAAAATGGCTCTCAGATAAAAACCCAGAAGCATTTTGTTGACTTCATTCCTAAAAGAGTTAAAAAGTATTTATTATATCGGAGTCAACCTTGAAGTCCAGATTTCTGAATAGAAAACAAAAATATTCGAACAAAAAACAATCCAGATGCAATTGAAAATTGATATTCTCTAAGGATAAAGATAGAATCAAGCACCTATATTGAGTCGTAAGTCGCAAATCGTAAGTAATGAGATGTAACAAGTCGAAACATTGATTTTCAATAGAAACTTTCATGCACGGATCAAGAATCAAGTGTGCTAACATGATTCCTTACAACTGAAAACTCTCGACCTTCAACTGAAGAGTGGTGCAGTCATCTGTCAAAAGTCAATCACAGCAGGATGGACTGAATATCACCTCATAATTAGTGATTTTCAATCTCTAAGAGAGGTCACGTTCAGCATAAAAAAGATGTATGCATTGATGGTTGGATTAAGGTAACTTTAGACATGATGTAAAAGAAGAAATATTCAATCATTCATGAATAGTTTAAGATATTTTCGAGTAACGAAAAAAATGTAGAAAAGATCAAATTTCCTCTGTCAAACCCGATAAATTTTGGGTTCAACAAAATAATTAAACCAGGGAAGTCAAAAATGAACGACGGTGACCCGCTGGAAATACAAGTACCAATAAGGAGATCTGTGACAAATCGAAACAAAGCTTCTCTTATCGGATGATGGATGTAACGCTTTCAGGCTCAGAAATCATCTAGAAGAAGGAGGATTCAGAACTACTAAAAGAGCACTGGAAATTTTGACCTTAAATGAATCCAACAGAAATTCTGCTCCGACGTACCAGAATTGCAATATTCTCTTTGAGGTGCGATTCACCAACGAATCGCATCTGACTTGCACGTAAAACGCCTAAGCTAGGTTAGGTTAGGTTAGGTTCAAAGTGAGTGGGTCTGTTCGACCCTCTACCGCAACCCGCAAGGGTTTATTGTGACTCGCACCTATTCACACTCGGCCAAACAAACCCAGCTTCTCCACGAAGTCGATTAGTTTGTGTGGTGAGTGATCTGTTAGGTCAAGAGTAAGGTTCTGCCGAACTCTTAAGAACCTGATTCGGTCCCCAGCGGGACAGACACAAATTATGTGCTCTGCTGTTTCATCATATTCCAAACAAAGGCGACACACACTCTCTTCCGACAGTTTAAGTCTCTGCATTCGATGATTCAAATGACAATGACCTGCAAGAAGGCCGGTTAGACATCGTAGTTCATCCCTACGGTAGTCCAACATCTGTTTGGTATCAAGCTTCGAAAGGTGAATAAACGCCTTGGAGTGAGCCAATCCTGGAAGATTCTGCCAGAAGTCCTAACCTAACCCAACTACATATCTAACTTAACCTGATGGTTAGGTTAGGTTAACCTCCAACTACTTCAAATACTGCTATAATACCAAAGCTTGTAAATGTTTTGATTGGCTTCCGGGTTTTGCCCTAGTCTTCTTTGGTTATAATCTCGTTTCAACTGCAACTGCGGCAGTCATCTTCAGTGGCGTGTTCGAAATACTATCCTTGACGTATCAACTGAAACTCAAGAAGAGTCGGAAGCCGGGCGGTTCGACGTGGGTGCTTTGTTCACTCACTCAAATCGATCGCCGTGTTGGTCGCTAGTTCAAGCCCCAAGCTGAACGATCGATTTTAACTTGCTATAATCTAACACGTGTTAGGAATCACACGTTAAAAAGTAAGACCTCGCTTGTCCTTAACTCGCACAAGTTTCGACTTCTGAGGGTTGTCGTTCGTAGGGGTGCGACAGCTGGTTATTCTTCAGAGCAATCTGGAGTGAGAAGTGGCGATGAAGATACTCCCTACGAATACTCATATGAAAACGATGAATAAACTAGAGACGGAACATCTCTTCAACGTAAACCGCCAAATTATATATTGTTTCTGTCATATATCTCTATTTTCTTCTCCCTCTCTGTAGCTTCTACTGCAGGAAGGCAGCTAGATGATACCAGAGATGAAAAGAGTTGCATCCACGATCCATCACAATACTGTTCAGATCTGCCCTAGATCTGAACAGTATTGAACAGATGGTATAGTGGAATTATTTCATCAACATTTCCTGTCTTTCACTTTTGTTATTCGTGGATTCAGTGTAAATCGATCTCAAAGCTGGCGTCTTCAAAAAAGAGTCATCGTGGCTACAGCTTACTTTTGCATATTTTTCCAAGTCATAACAAATCACTGAATGTTTGTTCTCTTAGTTTGTTTCGTGTTTTACGATTCAGTTTCTTCTTCATCGTTGAAGCAATAAAAGCCATTGTTTCATCTTGTTCAAGACGAAGATTCTGTTGGATTCCGATATTGCTCGATATTTTTTTAACTCTGCACTCCGATTCGTTCCATGAACTTCTTAGATAAAACTCGCGCTTCATCAATCAAAAATTTTCAAATTTGTTTGAACTCCTGGATCTCGTTCTTAGTTTGGTAGATCCATTCGAGATATTACTATCTACAACTTCAAAGTTTTTACAGTTTTGATTTGTAACTGAAATTTGATGACAACTCAATTCTTTTATATTCAACTTTATCTGAACTTGGAGAATGTCGAAACTCAAAACACTAATGAAATGCACTACGAAACATTGTTAAACACCTTCAAACAAACGTTGAATACCCGGTACGGACCCGGAACCAGCGACTTATTCCGAGGATATGAGAAGACTATGGTAAGCTTGTCAAAGAAGAAACTCACCTCAGCTTCTTGTGCAGAGCTAGAGACAGTAACATCATACCCAAAATGTTTTTGCTGAAATCGCCAATTCCAAGCGAGAGAGCCAAAAGCATNATTGCTCGATATTTTTTTAACTCTGCACTCCGATTCGTTCCATGAACTTCTTAGGTAAAACTCGCGCTTCATCAATCAAAAATTTTCAAATTTGTTTGAACTCCTGGATCTCATTCTTAGATTGATTTTGGTAGATCCATTCGAGATATTACTATCTAAAACTTTCTTTACAGTTTTGATTTGTAACTGAAATTTGATGACAACTCAATTCTTTTATATTCAACTTTATCTGAACTTGGAGAATGTCGAAACTCAAAACACTAATGAAATGCACTACGAAACATTGTTAAACACCTTCAAACAAACGTTGAATACCCGGTACGGACCCGGAACCAGCGACTTATTCCGAGGATATGAGAAGACTATGGTAAGCTTGTCAAAGAAGAAACTCACCTCAGCTTCTTGTGCAGAGCTAGAGACAGTAACATCATACCCAAAATGTTTTTGCTGAAATCGCCAATTCCAAGCGAGAGAGCCAAACGCATATTCGAATGCCAGCGCCGAGCACTGATATAATGTCTCAAATCAATTACCACCGTTGGAAGATGTCAATTCTGATGGAGGATACCACAGAACAATTTGAAGAAATGAGAAGAGAGATCTTGGAATAGGATCGTGGACCAATCTTTGCCAAGATTGAAAGCACGTGCTTGAATATCCGACAAGACATGGAGAATACCCGCAACAAGAAGTGGGGAAATTTGGTGAGAAAACACTGAACAAATGCAGACCGAAAATAGGACAACTATGAAGTCGCTAACGTTATCAACATGAGTTCTCGCCCGCTCACGGACATAGAGGAATCCTTGTGCAGGAAAAGACTGAACTTCGCCATTGCACAAACATCTGTGCCCACTTTGGAAATAATAACTGCAGTGGAATCCACCAGGAAGAGAAGCCGTAACAACCAGTACTTTCACTTCCCTACATCAGAGGATTGTCGGAAAAGGATAAGAAGGATTGGGTCCAAATATAACATCAGAACCTGTTTCAGATCTGGGAACACTATCCGTAGCAGCCTCATGAAAACCAGGCCACCTAACTCTAACTGCGATTCCAAGAATTGCATTTACCGGATACCCTGCGAGTGTGGAGAATCATACATCGGTGAAACTGAGAGACCACTGAAAGTTCGCATTGCCAAGCACAAGAAACAAACACATCGAGGAGAAACCAGCAAATCAGGATTAGCAGAGTATGTTTGGACTCATCAATATTACATCAAGTGGGCTCAAGCTGAAGTCATCTACAAAGAGGAATACTGGTTTAGGAATNATTTTGATGTTTTGCTATGAGACATATAGTTTCAATAATAAAAATAGATATTGCAGTGAGGATTTTCTTTTCCTTAAACAGTGGTCTGCAAGAATCTCGTGGTTTTGCTTTACATAGAAAACGTACAGCTCTTTTCAGTATAACTAAAATTGAATTCCAGAAAGGAATTCCATATCGTAGATGAGATTCTGTGAGAGAGTGATATGTTACTTTGGCAGCAGCAAATCCCAACTCATAAGATGTCAGCCTCACAGCATAAGATCCTGAGGATAACTTTGATTTGAGACTCTTGATATGGTCTTCAAATTTCAAATCAGAGTCAATTGATAGTCCCAGAAATTTGTTTGACAGTTTATTCTCAACAAAGATGTTGTCAATTTGTAAATTGCTGATGAAACATTTGAAGCAAAGTACGTTCGTTTTAGAGATATTAAACGCCAGGTTTTTATATTGCTAATATCATGATTTATTACTGCTTCAAGTTCAGAGGGATTTTGATCATGCCATAAAATTGTAGTGTCGTCACCGAATAGTGTGAACTCTCCTTTAATATCAATAGATGTCAGATCATTTATATACAAAAGAAATAATAGTGGACCTAGGACTGAGCCTTGTGGAATTCCACAGTTTATTTTTCCTTCCTCAGAATAATTAGTCGCTTTAACAATTTGACTACGCTCAGATAAATAAGATTCAAACCAATTGAGACTTACACCTCTTATACCATACTGTTGTGATTTCCGAAGCAGTGTATCATGACTAACACAGTCAAACGCTTTCGATATGTCACAGAACACAGCAGATGCAATCTCTCCATCATTTAATTTGTTATATAGACTATATATAGACTATATATCAACTTTCGTACAGGACAGAATATCAGAGTCGGACAAAATGTTTGTGAAAATGAATCATTTTCAGTACTTTTTGATCAAAAATGCCAATAGA